AACTATTTTGACAGTTTCTAAGAGCTCTACAATCCAATGTTTCGATTTTATTTTAACTCAATGATCTTTGAAACTAATCAAGAAATTGAAAATAATCAAGCTATGGTTTAATCACTCATTTAAATATTTGTATGCTATTTTTCACAATTTTTAGAAGTTTTTCGTCAATACTGATTAGTTACGGTATTTTCTTAAAAGGCATAAATTCTGTTTAGTTTGACAATACCGCTTGATTATAAATTTTTGATAGTAAATAATTAGCGACAATGCCTTTAACAACATATGATGTATCTCCCTGTCTTTCTTTTATTATAATGACCTCAGAGTACTCTGTCATAGAATAATTCATCTATAATTTTCAAGACTACTGTTCTGTTACCTGATCGCGAAGACAGAAATTCCTGCAAAGGCTTTTACACCGTTAGTTCTAGACAATGACTGATATAATTAAAATTTACGAATAATTTCGATAATTTAATAGTATTAGTATTAGGGTTATTAATTTACTTTTTAATGTTATAGGGATACATATAATAGAAATACAAATTAAACTTGCATGGGTTTCAATCTACTAGGGCTGTTGCATATTTTTTTATCTATAGCTTGAAATCGGTTGTTTTCAAGATTTCTAGTTTAAATTAATAAACTGCAATAGAATTAAGATTATGTAAAAATTTATTATTATGTATTTATCTGCTAGGTAAATAAATAAAAAGATGGAATGAACTAAGCAAATATTTTATTTTATTGCTGTATTTACAAATTTTTCAAAGCAGGAAGGCTCATAAATACGCCTATCGGTAAATGCTGTAACGCATTGTTCTTTATGTTTCCAGATATACATATTAGCAAGTATTATAGCAAATATTAGTGATATAATATCAGCAGTAATTTTCTTGATATAACTTTGCGTCAATATCTGGAAATGTTAATTATCCATTAAATAAAGTGTAGAAAACGAAATTCCAAAATTGTAGCATATTTCAGATCATTTCAGAGTTTCATCCTACGGCTTTGATTCTTACAAATTTTGCAAGGAGGTTAATCCATAAAACGTCGCATTGGTAAAATGTTCAATTTTATTGATGAAAGGTCTCTGCAATTTTGCAAGTGCTGAATAAATAGCAGTAAAGAGCAACAACAGATTATAGACTATAGTTTGAAATTCGTTTTCCTAGTTTTTCAACTATTCGACTACCGCATCTTAAAAATTTATAAATTTTTATTCTCCGGTCTATGTTTTGTAATTATAAGTTCCATGTGATTCTAAACTTAACAATACCAGTGTAAGAAAATAAATAGCAAGGAAGGGTAGATTTAAATAGCCTTAATAACTATAATTTTACCGATATAAGGCATATCAATAATTAGAAAAGGTAAATGTGAAGAACCCTTACAACAGATTCTAGATTAGAATAATGTATTTTAATATACTGTAGTTGTAATTGCATAAATGTTTATATTTTAAAGTATTGTCTCATTATTTATAGTGAAGCCTTTACTATCACATGATAAATGTATCTTCAATAGTAACAAATTCTAAATGGATCAAAACGATATATTTACAGATGAGTAAGGCTGTGTAGCGCTGAGAATGCTTGATCGCAAATAGTACAAATTATGCAATTTTTCAGCAAGCTACAAAATTGTTTTAACAATATAGTCATTTTAATTCAAATGAATGAGATTCTAATTACCAGATTGTAACATATACTATTTCCAAATCTTTAATAAATAATGTTTGCGTTACTCAACAGGCAAATTTTTGAATATATTGCTAACAGCAGGCCTAATTAATGGTATGTTAATTGTACGGTACTCACTAAGATTAAAGTTTTAGTACTAGTTCTAAAAGTCTCTACACAAACGCAAATATTAGAGATTCAATTTTCAGAGCATGTATTTGATTGTTTTGTTATGTGCATTTCGCTGTAAAGCAAAATGCAACCGCTAAATGGTAACATTTCACCATGATTGACTTACAGTTTTTGAAGCCTGGGTAGCTCAATTAAATTACCACAACCTATATGAACAAGATACCCGGATGATAAATCCCTGAAAATTTTTAAAATAGTCGTAAGGTCTAGATACCTTTATTATGCCTCTTCCACGAGAAAAATAGACATGTATAAGTAGTATGAAAAATTATTTTTTTGTTTCTACATAGTCAATTCTTTGGATTTGATAGCTAATTTTCATAATCAGCTTTATTTCAAATAATAACGTTCTGAAATGATATATGATAGAATGAATTCAAAAGTGACTAGATTTAGTCTTAAAATGGCAATGTCATTTGATAAACATTACTGGTAATCAATCTTTGAGCATGCAAAATATTGTTGGCACAGATCAGTAGAGAGAAATTAAAATACTGCAATTGATAGTATGATTTAATTTATGTTCTTACAAATATGGAAGATGCTTTCGGTCGTGAAATGAACAAACAGAGCTGCAAAACGGCGAGATCGACCGTGAACAAGGATTGCATACCTCGCGAAAGAACTGAACAGTACAGTGTACAACTTAGTAAACATGCTCTGTAGTGTGTGCATCTTTTGATAATAATAATTAATCAATTAATTAAGTTCATGAAAGAATCGATCTAACTGCAAGTAACTAAATACTGTAACCCAGAGAGCTGCAAACCGACGAGATCGACCGTGAACAAGGATTGCATACCTCGTGAAAGAACTGAACTGTACAGTGTACAACTTAGTATACATGCTCTGTAGTGTGTGTATCTTTTGATAATAATAATTAATCAATTAATTAAGTTCATGAAAGAATCGATCTAACTGCAAGTAACTAAATACTGTAACCCAGAGAGCTGCAAACCGACGAGATCGACCGTGAACAAGGATTGCATACCTCGTGAAAGAACTGAACAGTACAGCGTACAACTTAGTATACATGCTCTGTAGTGTGTGCATCTTTTGATAATCAATATTAACTAATCAATTAAGTTGATGAAAGAGTAGATCCAGCTACAAGTGACTAAATGCTGTAAGCTAGGGAGCTGCAATACGGCGAAATCGACCGTGAACAAGGATTGCATACCTCGCGAAAGAACTGAACAGTACAGTAAGCTGCAAAGCGACGAGATCGACCGTGAATTAGGATTGCATACCTCCTGAAAGAACTGAACTGTACAGTGTACAACTTAGTATACATGCTCTGTAGTGCGTGCATCTTTTGATAATCAATATTAACTAATCAATTAAGTTGATGAAAGAGTAGATCTAGCTACAAGTGACTAAATGCAGTAAGCTAGAGAGCTGCAAAGCGACGAGATCGACCGTGAACAAGGATTGCATACCTCGTGAAAGAACTGAATTTTGCAGTGTACAACTTAGTATACATGCTCTGTAGTGCGTGCATCTTTTGATAATCAATATTAACTAATCAATTAAGTTGATGAAAGAGTAGATCCAGCTACAAGTGACTAAATGCAGTAAGCTAGGGAGCTGCAATACGGCGAAATCGACCGTGAACAAGGATTGCATACCTCGCGAAAGAACTGAACAGTACAGTAAGCTGCAAAGCGACGAGATCGACCGTGAATTAGGATTGCATACCTCCTGAAAGAACTGAACTGTACAGTGTACAACTTAGTATACATGCTCTGTAGTGCGTGCATCTTTTGATAATCAATATTAACTAATCAATTAAGTTGATGAAAGAGTAGATCCAGCTACAAGTGACTAAATTCTGTAAGCTAGAGAGCTGCAAAACGGCGAAATCGACCGTGAACAAGGATTGCATACCTCGTGAAAGAACTGAATTTTGCAGTGTACAACTTAGTATACATGCTCTGTAGTGCGTGCATCTTTTGATAATCAATATTAACCTTAACTAATCAATTAAGTTGATGAAAGAGTAGATCCAGCTACAAGTGACTAAATTCTGTAAGCTAGAGAGCTGCAAAACGGCGAAATCGACCGTGAACAAGGATTGCATACCTCGTGAAAGAACTGAATTTTGCAGTGTACAACTTAGTATACATGCTCTGTAGTGCGTGCATCTTTTGATAATCAATATTAACTAATCAATTAAGTTGATGAAAGAGTAGATCCAGCTACAAGTGACTAAATTCTGTAAGCTAGAGAGCTGCAAAACGGCGAAATCGACCGTGAACAAGGATTGCATACCTCGTGAAAGAACTGAATTTTGCAGTGTACAACTTAGTATACATGCTCTGTAGTGCGTGCATCTTTTGATAATCAATATTAACTAATCAATTAAGTTGATGAAAGAGTAGATCCAGCTACAAGTGACTAAATTCTGTAAGCTAGAGAGCTGCAAAACGGCGAAATCGACCGTGAACAAGGATTGCATACCTCGTGAAAGAACTGAATTTTGCAGTGTACAACTTAGTATACATGCTCTGTAGTGCGTGCATCTTTTGATAATCAATATTAACTAATCAATTAAGTTGATGAAAGAGTAGATCCAGCTACAAGTGACTAAATTCTGTAAGCTAGAGAGCTGCAAAACGGCGAAATCGACCGTGAACAAGGATTGCATACCTCGTGAAAAAACTGAATTTTGCAGTGTACAACTTAGTATACATGCTCTGTAGTGCGTGCATCTTTTGATAATCAATATTAACTAATCAATTAAGTTGATGAAAGAGTAGATCCAGCTACAAGTGACTAAATTCTGTAAGCTAGAGAGCTGCAAAACGGCGAAATCGAACGTGAACAAGGATTGCATACCTGGCGAAAGATACATACTGTCGTGGTAGACGGTATTGTATAGTTCTGTACTATACTGACGCTGTAGAGACTATTGCGGTCATATTGAAGTCTATTGGACTTCACGACAGTCCCTTTAGCCGCCTTTTTTGGGGAAAAGCCACTGTTGAAGCCAACCTAGGACATCCGTCCTTCCCAGGCGTCCAGACCTTACACTTTGTTGGCATCCCTGTGTATGATAGCTTGTGTTGTTGGGTTAGCAGACATCAAATCTTCTAGGTTGTGCAATTTAGTCATCAATTCAAAATGAGTGGCGGTGTTTACGGTGGAGGTGCGTAAAAAATGATATTCTAGCAATATTTTACTTTAGTGGATTGTAACTGTTGATGTTGAAATCAGTCGTTGATGTCTTGATGGAAGATTCGATGGTTTTTCTTGCAAGTAAATTGACGAATAAAGTCATGTTGATTGTGGATTTTAGATGAAGTTGGCGCCATTGTCTTGGACATTGGTAATACAACTGTTCGTGCTGGTTTCGCCGGTGAAGATACACCAAAGGTATTACTTGTTACTTTCCATGATTGCTTGTATATCGATTGGGTATATATCGACGTTTTTGGTGATCTGAATATTAGGCCGACTTTCCTTCATATGTGGGTTGTACGACCGATGGTAACTTCGAGGATGACAATGCCATGGATACTGCAGATGGTCCGACATCAGTAGCTTCCAAAAGGAAATATTATATTGGTTATAATTTTCTATCATCGCCTAAAGAAAGGATGGAAATGATTAGCCCTTTAAAGGATGGAATGAGTAAATATAGGCCAATTTTGCTAATAGAATCACCTCGAAAGTTGTGTATCTTTAGTTTAAAATTATTATCGTAGAGGAAAACGACAATAATGCTATCATGTTCGGTGCACACTGCCATGGCATTGCATGAGTGATGAGCATAAGATCCTATTGCCTACTGTGCAAGAATCTTTCAGTTTCGATGCCGTGTAGATGTCACAAATTCTAATCGATCGTAACAAAATTGGTCATTTCTATTGCTTGCATTAAAATTACGACAGCATTAAAGAGTGAAATCGAACGTTAGTAACTGAAGTGGTTAAGGATTAGAATTTGAATTGCATGCATGCATGACTGAGCTCATTCATAGTTTAGATTAATTATGAAACTAGTCTGCAATCAACCCTACGGTGTTTTAGCTCAGTTTAAGATCGTGCTACTGTATCATACGTTGATGTACTAGGTCATTAACTGAAACTGGAGGTAATAAGAGTTGCATTGTAATATCAACTGGTCTCTTTTTATGTATTAAAAGTTAAAAACGCCGCCTTGATGTAATTTTCATTTTTCTCCACTCACGTATCCTATTACGCCATGATAGGATTAAGTTCTCTTGCTGAAATCGATTTCACTTGAATCTCTTGTTAGTTGATGATTGGGATCTATTTAAAGAACTTTTTGACCATACCTTTGCCAATCACATTCGCTCCGATCCTTCGGTGCATCCTATTTTGATGACGGAACCTGCTGTAAGTTTTGTAGACGTGCCACATTCTAAATGGCGTCGACAAAATAAATGAAACTTCATAAAATAACTTGTTACTGTTTCATGATTTTATTAGTGGAACGAACGAGGGAAGCGAGAGAAACTGTGCGAGCTTATGTTTGAAACGTACAATGTGCCAGCATTTTACCTTTGCAAGAGTCCAGTATTAGCGGGGTGCAGTATCTACAAAATCCTAACACTATATAATATCACAAAGTTTCTCGACAGTATTTAGCCAATATGTAGATTGGTACTGTATATATCATATTATGTTTATGTTCTACATGTAGCTTTGCCAATGGTCGCTACACTGGTATAATCCTTGATTCAGGAGCGCATCATACTTCCGCCATTCCAATTTATGATGGTTATGTTTTACAACAAGGTAAGATTCGGATTTACGCGTATAAAAGTCATTTCACGATATCATCTACATATTGTATTCATTCTTTTAAGCTGTAAACACTTTTGTGGAAATTGTGTATTTTTATAATATCTTCCTTCAATTTAATCTTACCTTTAGGCATAGTAAAATCTCCTTTGGGTGGAGATTTTGTTACGGCTCAGTGCAGGTTAGTAATATAAAAGTTGAATCACTTTTAAGATGTTTGAATTGATTCTAATATCACTTATATCTGGTGTATTTTTGTTCTAAAGGTCTTATTTAGCCGACAAGAATGTTGAAATTGTTCCTACTTATTTAGTTGGTAGCAAGGTAGTACTGCTCTTGATGTTGTAACACGGAAGCCCAACTAGAGATAGTCAAAAATAATACATTAGTTTCCTTATTACGCTGATGAATGGGTATGCATCTTGTTCTTTATTAGACCCCAGTGGGTAAAGGAGAGCCATCTATTTATACAAAGAGGGCAAATTTACCGGCAAAAATAACTCAATCTTACCATAATTATATGGTCAAGGTAGGAATTTTAAACATGATGCCCCCATTGAGGCCGTAGTGTTTACGTGTTGTGTAATCATTTACTATTAATTCTTTAATGTCGTCATTGAATCATTTTCTCTATATCTAGAATACTCTACACGACTTTAAAGCCTCGGTTTTGGAAGTTTTGGATTCAAATTTTCATGAAATGTACGTACATTAATATAGATATCTGCATTGTGGATATAATCAAACTAAGGCTATTCTTTAATGCTACCAGCAATGCAGGAAGTATTCCATCGATGCATTATGAATTTCCTGATGGGTACAATAATTCTTACGGGGTAGATAGATTTAAATTAGCAGAGGGTTTATTCGATCCATCAACTGTCAAGGTAAAATTTGTTACTGAAATTCAGTAATGATGATAGTGTTGGCAATACCAATCGATTATTTTGTAAACGTAAATAATTACCATTGCAATGATTTGCAATATACAGGGAATGGATTGCACGAACTTACTGGGAATTTCTCAACTTATACTAACGAGTGTAGGAATTTGCGATATCGATATCAGACCGGTAAAATTTGTAATATTTGAGCGTAATAGTTTGACTCAGTTATGTTGGAAGCAATAGCGATAGCTGTACCTGTAATTTTGGATTATAGAATTTATACAGCTCCGTCGTTGTTACTGGAGGTAATTCCTTACTGCGAGGATTTTGCGATAGGTTATCTAGAGAGTTGCAAAACAAAGTTCCTCCGGTTAGTATTGAACTTCTAAAGAGCTTAACAGTGGCTAATATTTTTGGGCTGGCGATGTGTATTGTAGGATTTCTGTACGAAAATTATTCATTATTTGCTTTACTGCAGGGTTTACGAACAAAAGTCGTTAGTGCTAACGGTTCATTAGAACGACGCTGTGGTGCCTGGATTGGTGGATCGATATTAGCATCTTTGGTACGTAATTATACCATTGTATTTCAAATTAGCCTCTAAATTGAATGTAATTGACTGTTTTGAAATATTCTTTCTTCTGATAGGGTTCCTTTCAGCAAATGTGGATATCGAAACAAGAATATGACGATGGTGGAAAAAACTGCGTTGAGAGAAAATGTCCGTAAAGGAATGATCTCATTCACTTTGACACGAATTAATATTGCTTAGGACTGTACAATTGAATTGAAGTTACGACCTGATTTCTGAACTTACATTTAAAATGAAGTCGTTAAGCTATACTACTGAATAAATATTTGTCTCGCCTTTAAATTGATACAGTCTCTGTTCAAAAATTTTATTACTACAAATATCAAACGACCTGTTCGTATTCCTTAATGTAATACCGATTATTTCTGATACTTTGTTTGTAATGAATCATTCCAATTTTGTAGAATAAACGGTCTACTAGTGTAATTATATATTCTCAATAGCGTTGTAATGACGTTTCCTGTAGTTTAATTCACCAGCTGCGTTAAGTTCAGGAAAGTGATTAGTAGATTTAGTAAGTACTAGCAACTATTGAGTTATGCTTGTTTATGTCCGTTGTATGGAGCATGGAGTGACTTCTATACTTTATACTGTAATAAGATATCCTGTAGCGGTTATGAATGTTCAATTGTTGAATGGTCACTAGCTTACACGTACTTTGGTGTTTTACTCTACTATGGGCGATTTAGTAACTAGCATTCACGCACTGTGGCGCTTTACTCAGCCATGGGTACGAATCGTAGGATAACGATAGATGTTGAATAGTCATTAGCATAGACGTACTGTGGTGTTTTATTACTCTGTCATGGGTACGATGATGATGGTTAGTTGATTGTTGGAGAGTTTGCTAGCCTATACGTACATACCAAGGATTTGTAAGAGGAATAAGTGATGCTCTTAGAAGTCGCTGCACGTACTCTAGTGTTTTAATGAATCGATCATCGATACGATGATTTTTGTAACGTACTCTACCATAGCATACTGGTCTGCTAACTTGGAGGCAAGCCGTGCAGATACTTCAATGCAAGGAAGAAAGACTGTAAAGTCCAGACCAGTGATGGACTGCCAAGATTTATGAAATATTATTCATATCCTCATTCACTATCATCGACTCCCTGGCGTAGTTGGAAAGCAACAACTGCCGCAACAAATTGAGTTGGAACAATCGTCATTGTCGATTGAACTGTATTTGACTGTACAACAGTGTATAGTCTGTTTAAATAAAAATACGAATTAGAATACGTAAGTACTGCCCGGTTAGCTCAGTCGGTAGAGCATCAGACTTTTAATCTGAGGGTCGTGGGTTCAAGTCCCCCATCGGGCGCACTTAAATTTTTTTTTTCTCTTCTCTTGAGCTAGTCATAGATAAAATTGAATAGCCGGAAAAAGGTAAGGTAGAGTATGGCGTTTGCAGTGCTGTATGGAATATCTAGTAGTATCGCCCATTTACAAAGCGGGCGCTGTACACTGTACAGTACTGTATGCGATCTCGTCGTACAGTACTGAGTACACTTTACGGTACAGTGTACTGTACTACAGTACTGTACACAATGAGGTGGCATTGCATGGTTTGATATTTAAATGGCTACTGCACACTCAGTGCACAGTGCACACTGTACAGTACTAGTACTAGGCAGGGACTACTCATTGAGTACTCCATCAAAATTGTGCCTTGTGTCGACGTGAGTCACTGACTCTTCATCCAGGGTGGAAAACTAGGGTAGAAGAGTCAAATCATGCATACAGCACTGTACGATTGCAAATTTGCAATACAGTACATCCAGTACAGTACAGTAGAAAGGAGGCGCGTCGTCTAGTACAGTATTGTACAGTGTACAGTATGAATTCGGGAGATGAAAAGTGACTGCTTACTGTACACTGTACACTGTACTGCTTCCAGTAAGGTTCAGTATGAAACCGTGATGAAAAGCAGTGTACTGTACAGTGTACAGTATGAAGCCGGGTGATGAAAAGTGACTGCATATTGTACACTATACACTGTAGTATACAATGGATGTAGGCAGTACTAGAAGAATAAATATGCTGTACAGTATGATGACTGAACCAGTGTTCGTACATGTAATCAGGCGTTCATTCAAGGACGTCGTACAGTGTACAGTATGAAGTCGGGTGATGAAAAGTGACTACATACTGTACCTTGTACACTGTAGTGTACAACTGTACATTGCTGTACTGTATGTAAGCAGTAGAAGAATAAATATCTGTATGGTGACAACATCATTAACAGTTCAGCACAATTACATTGTCGATGATGGTGAATTCTACGAGTAAAATAGGACAACGCTGGATTTGGCTTTTTAGATAATAATAATAATAATAAGTAAGTAGCTCATACATTATTACGTAAGCAATACCAAGGACTACTCCACCAAAATGAAATTCATTTTTGGTGGAGTAGTCCCTGCCTTTACGTTTAAAGCTTTCCTGTACGTGCCAATGATTTCCAGTACGCGTAAAAGCATTCATGTACGCGCAATGACTTTCCAGTACACGCATTCATTTCCAGTACCTGCAAGACTTTCCAGTACTGTACGCGTGACATTTCCCAAAGTACTGTACACTGTACAGTACAGTGGCCCTTCTCGGCCACCGTAGGTTGTACAGTACAGTACAGTACATGCAATCATGCGTTCATTCAAGGACGTCGCACTGTACAGTACTGTATGTACAGTACTGTCCTATATGAAGTCGGGTGATGAAAAGTGACTGCATACTGTACACTGTACACTGTACAATACAATGTACTATACTGTAGACAGTACTAGAAGAAATATACAGTACAGTACAGTACTGTACTGTATGGTGACTGGTTCGTACAGTACAGTACATGCGTTTATTCAAGGACCGTCGTACTGTACAGTCTTCAGTATCAAATCGGGTGATGAAAAGTGACTGTGCACTGTACACTGTAGTCTACAATGGATGTACTGTAGACAGCACTAGAAGAAATATACTGTACTGTACTGTACTATATGGTGACTGGTTCGTACAGTACGGTACATGCGTTCATTCAAGGACGTCGTACAGTCTTCAGTATCAAGTCGGGTGATGAAAAGTGACTGTACACTGTAGTCTACAATGGATGTAGACAGTACTAGAAGAAATATACAGTACAGTACTGTACTGTACTGTACTGTACTGTATGGTGACTGGTTCGTACAGTACAGTACTGTACATGCGTTTATTCAAGGACCGTCGTACTGTACGGTCTTCAGTATCAAATCGGGTGATGAAAAGTGACTGTACACTGTAGTCTACAATGGATGTACTGTACAATGTACATGCGTTTATTCAAGGACCGTCGTACTGTACAGTCTTCAGTATCAAATCGGGTGATGAAAAGTGACTGTACACTGTACACTGTAGTCTACAATGGATGTAGACAGCACTAGAAGAAATATACTGTACTGTACTGTACTGTATGGTGACTGGTTCGTACAGTACAGTACAGTACATGCGTTCATTCAAGGACGTCGTACTGTACAGTCTTCAGTATCAAGTCGGGTGATGAAAAGTGACTGTACACTGTAGTCTACAATGGATGTAGACAGTACTAGAAGAAATATACTGTACGGAGACTGATTGGTACTGTACATGCAATGACGCATTCATGACTTAAACAGTACTCGTGCTGCTTAATCGATTGACTGACTATTGGTCGTGAATTGATGACACTTGAGTTCACAGCACGTTACTGACTACTTGCACCACGACGTCGATCATTCCACTGTAAACAATAACATCCCCCTTGTCGTCTGCGGACAAGCAGTTGACGAATTGGCAACTTTTTAAACTACTTATTTATTTTAATTAATGAATTTAAAGTGCAAGACAACAGCCTACCACTCGATTAGAACAGCGGCTATTGCAAGAGGTAGGAGGCATCATGCAATCATCATCGCTTGATGGTCAATTGAACTTGATGATGATGATGTTGTTGTAAAATGATTTACTCCATTTGACATTGGCAATGTCCATCATTACTTTTGCACCATTGTTTATTCCCTCATCTGGCCGTATAGAAAGCGTTTCTTTCCATCTTCATTGGAGGTAATCCATGTTGCCCATCAGGATCTTGATTGGATATTGGCGTAGGTACTTTTTGACAAGGTTCTGCTACTCTCTTTCTCGGGGTAACATAAACACGAGGTTAAGCCTTGCTACGACACCCTCCATCATGCAATCCACCTACTCTACTAGAAAAGGAACGATCCAATGTGCAATGCAGTTGAAAAATGCCACTTTTTTTTTTTTTTTTTTTTTTTTTTTTCCCAATCAACAAACATGACAGTAGTCTGAGTGCATAGTCGATGTTTCCATCGTTTCCATGCCTTTCTTGACATCATCTGCAGTTGATTTCCTTGCCAATTTCAAAGTACAGGGAAGCGGACTCAGATCATTTTGCAATTGATGTGTGTGTCAACCATACAAGTTTTTATTTCCTAATGTACACAATCGACCAACGGTATCGATGGACAGTCCAAGATGCAGACGCAAATAGTTGTCGTAGGCCACAACGCCTAGGCGTAGTAAGATGGCCATGGCGATTGTGTCAATCCATCCATTTCACATCATGGACGTTGATCGATTCTCGTATACCAGTTGTACATGTATCATGCTAGCAATCAGTGTTGGCAATTTATTTTTGCAGGACGAGCTGCAGACTCTTATTTCCTTGGATTGAATCTGCATGACGTTATCCAATCAATCAATATTCAAGATTACACACTAGTAATTGTGGATAATATTTCCATTCTTTTTCAATCTGATTACTGTAATAGGCCAGCGCTTCAATTGGACAAAATACAAGCGACAACGGAAGTCTTCTTCTTGCCCTTCTCATTGATTGTAAAGTTACACAGAAAGGTCTGTCTTGAAAGAAAAAGTACGTAATATGGATTGTATATATACAGTATACAGTAGATATATACCATTGATTTTCATTCTAGCTATTGCGAACTTTTCTATTTGTTTTGATCAATGTAAGTGCGATTTCATTTCATTGAATACCAAGACTACAACTAGTCCATGTCTGTCTCGCCAGAATGGATACTGTAGATAGACACCATGAAACAGTAGAGTGTACAATGTACACATGCAGACGGATAGGCCGCCGTCCACGCTTTCACTACCGTAGATCATCCAATGATTGATTCTATATATTATCATGAGTACAAGTAGTATTAAAAAGTTGCTGGAATTGTTGACTATCCATTTGTAGGGGCTTCTCAGTCGACTGGCACGACGTATCGCATCGTAGTGATTCCTCGTTGAACTTTATTCAACTCCACTTGGTCAAGTCAACGCGTTTCGTCAAATTGCCTGATTCAATTGGCGCTATCCCCCTCCTATCCTTGTATGACTGAAAATAACTGTTGTTGAAAGCATTGGATCGATCTTGTCAAGCCGCCTATCCTTTGCGTATTGATTAAGTTATTGAAAAACTGAATCAAAATACATCCAATTGAATTGAAAGTCGCCATCATGGATCACCAAGAAAGTAAAGGAGACGATGACAAGCCTCGTATGGGCGGTGTGAGTGACTTGAGTGTTATTGAAGAGAGTGAACAACTCAAATCGAATGGAGACAGTTTTAATGGCCAATTACGAGAGAAACATCAACGTAGCGATGAGCAATCAAGTGATCATCCAGCACGAAGTTTAAGTCCTGATCAATACGCCGATGTCGATGGAATTGGTCGTCGAACAAGAAGTCTTAGCGCAGTCCAAATTCAAGGAAATAGTTTAAATAATATCAACGATGAGTACCCTAATAAAATGCCGCGACGTAGCAGTTTAGCCAGTGGAAATAGATCACGAATGCAAAAGCATGTCTCCTTTAGTTCATCCAGTGATGAAAAAGCCATTGCCAGCGGTATGCCTTTTATCCATTCACTTTCAACGCTTTCCATGATTGCCATTTTTGTCTTTTGATTTATCCTTCATGTCACAACCATCATTTTTTAATTTTTCCTTCTATCCTGCACAATAGTCGATCAACCGATCTTAATTTTAAACATTCAATTTTATCTCATTGGCCTACTGTTAACGATTGAAGAGAAATTAAGTTACAATCGTGATTATGAGTAGCTTTTGTTGCAAGCGTTCCAATTTTTTTTTCCCCCAACTTTTCCCTTGTTGACAAATAAATTCATGACTTTTTCTTCTATACTATACAACGGCATAATTGTACAATCTTTACAATTTTACTCTTCCAATATTCGTAGTCAGGATTGTACAGTAGATTTGTTCACTGTTAGTGTACTGTACAATTTGGTAATCAACATCGACTTTGCTTTTATTTAGTGTTGCATTGACACGGACAACACATAATGATCCATAATTATCCGATCGAATCTTTTCAAGGAGGCGGCAGTACATGACTACTGTATTCTCCAACGCATTCAGCAAGACGCGACTACAAACTAGAGTAAAGTTGAAAATGTCCTTGGCCACTTTTAACATATAGTACAGGAATCATGTTTTGCCATCGCTACTAGATTTATTCACCACCACTCTACGGCAGTATACTCATTTGTACGACCGTATTGCTACAAGAGGTTTTCCATTCCCATTCTTACAAGTCCTTTCCATTTCGGTTCAAAAGTAGGATTGCTGTCGCTACCATAATTTCAAGTACAATTCTACCAAAGTTTGATTTCAATACGGCCGCCTCTTCCATACAGTGCATGGATAGTATGATAGATGCATTTTAGTCCACAGATGTTCTATAGCGGTTTGCAAAAACAACTCATCTACTTGACAGTACTCATAAATATAGTGTTGTACAGTCTGACTAATCGATCACAAAACGATAGTTTATTTTTGCTATGTTGTAAACGAGTAGAGTAGAGTACGATGTTGGCTCAACTTTTCTCCTTTTCTCCTTCTTTATGTGCCGCTTTTTGCAAATGGCTATCTTGACACGTACAGCTGGCGATTGTATAAGAGCAATGCAAGCTGGCACCGATATGATTAAAATTCGTTCAGTAACGCGACATTACAAGCGTACTTTTGTACTGGATCAAGAAATGTCATCATTAACTTGGAAACCGAGTACCAAGAAAGCTGAAAAAGCATTTAGTAAGTAATAAAGTCACTAACTAACTTACTCAATAACGTTATGAATGTTGACATAGTAAGCGATTGACATAAACTACGATATCTCGTCAACATATTGTCTATCACAGTCAAAATTGTGTACTTTCCTTTATCAAATGGTATGAAGTTGTGTTTTTTTGTCTCTGTTTTGTCTACTAATGAATGCAAACTAAACAGTGCTTGAATGATATTTTATTTTTTGAAATATATTGATGTTCTCTTTCCTCTCTATTTTTCTTTAATTCACTCTCACACTCTTCAATGCGTATCGCCATTTTCCCTTCATCTCTGTTTTCCTCATCCAAAAGACATCTTTCTTCATTTCTATTTCCTTCAGTATGATAATCCTTCAACATACTCTGCTAATATCCACTGCAATACTAATTTAAATTAGAATAGTGACAGATGATCGCCATTGCAACGCAATAAATACAATCATAAAATAAACCACCGATAGCCATGGATAAACCTCGATACCCGTCTATCAGTTTATAATATACAGAGAGAGAGAAACGTATAGTAATCTAGTGTAATAAGAAAAGAATGATATTAACGTTACTGTTGAGCTTTTATCGTACTTGGACGATGACTGTTTTCCTCATCCATAATTGTATGATTGATTGATTGTTAATAAACTACCGTAATTATCATACTGTTAATAAACTACCGAATTATCATACCTTGCAAATTACGGTATGGTGGGTATTAAGGATTAGTATCCTTTTCACCACTTTAGTATGCCTAGAAATGCCATCAATTTTATCGACCGATTCGTAATAATTTTAATAATATCGACCGACCGTTTTGGTTTTTTTCTTTCATCTTCTCTGGATTAAACTTGTAATATTCGAAATGCATTGTACACCAATGACATTGATCATACTGTATAAGCGTAGTACACTGTTCAGTAACCAGAGGTAGTTACCATGCAGTCATGATTCGGTAGATGGAATAGCTGCTTAAAATACGGTTTACTGAATTATGGGATGACAATTTCATTTTTCATTCTAAAACTCATATGACAATTTCATCAATGTTCCTAAGCTTAATAATTACAATTTTATAGGATGGCAATTTCATCTTTCATTCTAAAACTCATATGACAATTTCATCAATGTTCCTAAGCTTAATAATTACAATTTTATAGGATGGCAATTTCATCTTTCATTCTAAAACTCATATGACAATTTCATCAATGTTCCTAAGCTTAATAATTACAATTTTATAGGATGGCAATTTCATCTTTCATTCTAAAACTCATATGACAATTTCATCAATGTTCCTAAGCTTAATAATTACAATTTTATAGGATGGCAATTTCATCTTTCATTCTAAAACTCATATGACAATTTCATCAATGTTCCTAAGCTTAATAATTACAATTTTATAGGATGGCAATTTCATCTTTCATTCTAAAACTCATATGACAATTTCATCAATGTTCCCAAGCTTAATAATTACAATTTTATAGGATGGCAATTTCATCTTTCATTCTAAAACTCATATGACAATTTCATCAATGTTCCTAAGCTTAATAATTACAACTTTATAGGATGATAATTTCATCTTTCATTCTAAAACTCATATGACAATTTCATCAATGTTCCTAAGCTTAATAATTACAATTTTATGCGATGACAATTTCATCAATGTTCCTAAGCTTAATAATTACAATTTTATGCGATGACAATTTCATCAATGTTCCTAAGCTTAATAATTAGAAGTAGAATCACATTGCCAATGATTTCATGGATTTATTCAATTTATTACATTTCGCTAACACGGCCTACTGTCATTTCCAATTCATCAAAGAGAAGTTTTGCATGGGTACAGTAATAACGTTATAGAAGCATACAACTCATAAACTAATAACAATTTTTTAATTTTTTATTATATGATAATAGACTGTTAGAAAAGACCGATTTCATCTCTCTCTCTCTCTCCCATCACTCATGACTATATTATACCGTGTTGCCCTTGTCTATGCTTTCTCTTATGCTGTATAACGAACTTATTATACAGATTTATAGCTTGAATCATCATCATCAATGACTTACCTATACAGTGTACAATGTACACGTATGTCGATAGCAACCGTTTTGATGATGTTTATTGCTAATTGTATTTGATTGAAGTATAGTATTTACCTTGCAAGTCATTCTGTGGTACCTTTTGTAGAAAGAATTGCAGTTCCTAATGTTGTATAGTCGTTTTCAATAGTTAATATGTGTACCCTATATAGTACTAAATCCTCCAGTCGATCTGTTGTGGATCGGATATGTGTTTGGTGTCTTGACATCGTCAAGTTAGCTGTTTCCTTAATGCATGCCATGACTATAATTCCTATCAGTATCGTCCATCATTTGAAAGACACTCTTCCTGCTTCAAAAGTTGAAATATTTTACACCCTAAACACGGCTGTCTAAAGATCGCACACATAGCAAAAGAATAGGAAGTCTTATTATTTGTTTTATTTGTATTCTTAACTCGCTATAGAATAGCACTTCTCATGGCCGAAGTTCTTTGCATTTAAAAAATAGATTTAGTGCACCAGAGAATACATAGTTTTATTCCATAATAGGATTTCTCCCTTTGAGGCTATTTTTGCTAACTTGAAAGCATTATTATCATTTTAATTGTCTACCTACGATATCGTTTAAATTGACTAAGTTGCTTTTAGGGATTAAAGTTGAACATTGTCTGATTGTATTGATTAAGGGGTAATTTATTTAAAGATCCCATTAAACTATATATATACCTACAGCAGTGTGTAATGGAAATTGTATATTATTCGCATTACTCATTCTAAATTATTTTGCGCTTTATATTATTCCTTACGGCAGCTTAGCCAACAAAAACATTACCGCCGTATCGTCTACCATATTTAATTGATTTTCTTCCAGTACGCGTATGTAGTTACGATCGGAGTAGTTACTTTCTCATATCTTTTTTTTTAGGTCATATCGTTATTTTATGTAATGATTTCTACAGCGATGTCATTGCTATCATATTGCTATTTATTAAGTGAAAGTGATAACAGCGGATAAAATGAGGCTGAATAGAATATTATGCTTTTCATTGCCGACATTTATAATTATGACGAAAATATGGCCGTAACATATTAGTTTGTTTATGCAACCGATAGTACAATGTAATAGCCCATATTCATGCTAATTTTCAATTCTCAGTGTTATATCTAACTGTATAATGTAGATTCAAACTCGACATTCATATACTGTAACATACTCGTAAACAGCAATACGGGTCAACATGAAGGAACAGTTTAATATATTTTGACAGTTTATTACCATTATTCGCTATCACCAGAACCCATGTAAGTAATTTACCAATAGCATACATATATAATATATACAAATATGAATCTTATGTAGAGTTTGTCTGCGAGTAATAGAACATCTAAAACTTAGATCGATTTGGCCAATCGGCACAAAGTAGAATATTTCAATGTTTTTTATTTGTACTATATGTATTAAATACAGTAAGTATGTCTTTACATTAAGCATCTTGTGCAGTCAATCAACTCTCTACGGTTTACTGTCGTACGTAGTGCTACAGATTGAAAGTAATCTTAATTACGCTTAACTAAGAATTATAATTAATCACACAATTGGTCAACATCATGCAACAGTATTGATGAAATGATTACTATCGGTCAGCTTGATTAGATGACATATTGTCCACGCTACTGCATTACTCAAGAAAGTTATTGGATTATATTTATGCAATGTCATTTGCGTTGTCAGTATATTATTCCTTTGAACAGTAATGAAATCATATAAAAGTAACTGATATAATGCATTTAAATTACTTCAATAACTTATAAATTTGTTAGGCTAATCCTTCCAAACTCTTTTACGCAAATTATATCGTGTTTTAAAATACTTGCACTAAATTATAATATACGCGTATGTTTGTATGTACAGTATATCTAAAGCTATACTAGCCTGTAAATAGTTATCGGTAAAGTGGGTAGATCATTATGAAATATTATTAGAACACAATGATCGTCAGACTTTGTATACTTGTTTATTGAGTAGCATATTTCAGTGTACTCACTCATTGACAAGACTAGTATTTTAGGCTTGAATTTAATTGTAATTAATAGTGATGCATTTGGAGTAGCATAGCGTACTGTGCACATATATTTATATGGAAACAATAGTGCTATCAGATAGAGAAGGTTGTCTTTTAACATATTACTATCCTATGCTCTGATAATTAATCTATTTGCGTTACTATTTCACATCAATAATTATAATTATCTTTACATCTGAAATATTGGAAGCAACAAAAGTTGATACGACTGTTTAAGTTCTACTTCTAAAACCAGCTAGCTTCTTCATTACTCTAACTATAAAATTGAATATTACATACTGCTGATTTAATTACTTTTTTGCATTAGACCATGCTAAATACAAATACTTGATTACAAATCAATGCACGAGCGTTTTCACAGATGAAGAACTTATTGAGTCCCTTTATAATTTATTACGTTAATACCAATGCTAGAGAAGCTTACTGTATGTAGTGTGCATACACAGTATGTAATAGAGGTCTCAATCCTTTATTATACAATTAATAGATTTACTTATATGTATACGAGTATTGTAGATTGATGACCAAAATATGTCACATCTTTGCTAATAAAATTGTTGTTCAATCGTCGTCATATTTCTCTACGATCAATAGAAAATCGATGCAATTATGTGTTATGATCCCATATATTAGAAGTTAAAATTGACTATGAAGTTAAGCAGTATTATTATGCATAATCAGAAGGAATTGATATGATTATCGAAAACATACTAAGCATCCTCTTAGTATTGCTATCCGCTCTTTATTATATTTTATAGACGATTCAAGATTATACCATGTTCATTAATATAATTTATTTAAATTAACAATATCACCTATCCATTTTTTGATCCATTGTACATAAGACCTGAATTGATAATGGATGCCAAGCCATTGTTAATGGGGTTGGTGGATAAAAGAGTGTTGTCTACAATTTTATCCACTAGTATTGTTTCTAGTTGTAGCTTTTGTATCGCCCTTTTCACTAACTACACCTGTTTTGAGACGTTAACCCCCATTGTTATTGATGTAAGATGATTAAAGAACAGATATGTTTACGACATAATTAGCAAGCAAACTACGATAGACTTATGAGAGAAATCGATGCTTTCAACATATCCTAATTATCTTACGAGGTACTGTAGTGTATTCATTCTAGAATTTCTGCTTTACGCATATTAATATCGAATCAATTATATTATACGTATGATAAATAGTATTTTTTAGCTATCTGGTGCACGAAAGAAGAATAATTGAATTAATTAACGCCACCTCAGTTCTAAAATAGCTTGCTAATAAGGCATGGAACATCCGTACATATAAAGCTCTGTAATTATCGCATGTGATTAACGCTTTGATTCCTTCTCATTGATCTACACTGTTTCCTTCTGAGTGTACAATTTGTTTTTATTTATTTTAATTAATTAATGAAAATTTTTGAAGTAAGGATCTGATTATATTAATGATTTACTATCAAAATATCTGACAATTAATAGTATATAATTCATATAACTTATTATTATCAATATTATTAGTATTCCTCGTTTCATTCATATTAACAATATTACTAGTATTATTACTGTTATTATATTACTAGTATTATTTTTTTCGATCTTTTGGCTATTGCTGCAATAATTATCTCGATCTCAAGGAATACTTTTAAAGCTATTTAGCAGAAAATTCTATTTGCTGCTGCTATACGCGTACAAATCAAAATCAGCTATCAATTCACCTTACAAATCTTATAAATTTCATAGCTTGCATTAAAGCAGCAGCATATTATGACACTGTTATTACTGACTTGTGATGCCAAAGTAGAGCGTTTTCTTCGCGATATAGTACAGTTGCTGGCCATTTGATTTAAATTATTACGCATCAGTAAATGCTGTAGTAACGACTTAATTAATTTAAAATTAATACTTTATAAGAATAAGCTTATTATCCGCCGAATTATACAACTGGCTAATTTTGTGTCCCTTATAATTTGCCAACACTGATTGTGTATGTTATAATTATTATAACATAATTAGTTTTAGCTTACCTCCCATGTAATTGAGCGTAGCATTATCGACAAATCGTAATATTGAATAATATTTAGCAACCAACAGAGTACGTGAGTCTACAGTATGGAGAATCATTCTATGTGATATAGGATAGAATTTCACAATAGTGCTCGACACGTAAAAGTTAGCCTTTCGCTATTATCTGAATAGAGGCATAACGCTTCTTTAAATGAAAATAAAGGACGAATAAATGAATAGAATACTCCACTCCCTATTCGAATAACTGTTAGCAATGTTTTACATAAGTGGTCGCCGTATCACTCAATAATGAAATGATTTCTATGTTCGCAGTAAAAATTTCCGATATTCGAGAAGTTTTCAAGGGTCAGACGACAGATATATTTCGTCAGTTAGTCAAGGAGGACTATAGCGAAGATTGCTCCTTTTCAATTATCTATGGAGATAAGTATGAATCGTTAGATTTAGTGGCTAGCAGTCCAGATGAGGCCAATGTGTGGATAACTGGTTTGAGATGCCTTATTAGTAATCGTAAAAGATCTGGTAAGTATCTTATCTTAGCTATCTTAACTAAGAAATCTTGCATAGCAGAATCTCGAAGCCTTCTTGTATTTATTTTTCGTATAACACAGTAATTCCTTAGATACTCTAGTAAAATAACATCAATTATTCTGTTGCTATTTAACTAATATTCTTATCACATCTGTATTGTTGGTTCAGGTAAAGACAGCGTTGATGATCGTCAAGTTATCCGTGATTCATATCCCGACTATACATAATTTAAGCGATACCGAGTAAACTTGTTCATTTAAAATTATAAAACTGTTATTATAAAATTTTTCTAGAATTTTCTATATCACTACTTGCAGCTGATACTCTTATGTAACTATAACTTAAAATAATGACTCGTACAATATCATAATTTGCTTAACTAATATTACATGGATAAAAGAAAAATTTGATTTCCAAGCCGTTCGTGGGTCCGGCTTTCTGATGGAGGAACAGGTTATGGGTCTTGTTAAACAAATGTCACCTCATATCAATCTAGAACAAATTCTTTCGAAACATAAGGTAAGAATAAAAAAATTTCTGTCTATATTTGGGCTACTTTTATTAAAGATATACCTTTCTATAAATTAAGTCTATGGATATCCCAAGATATTACTGGAAGTAATTTACATTTAATATGAAATTCCCTATTCTTTTTACTGTGATATGCTAAAAAATGCGTATCATTTAAGTACTCAGTCATGGCAAGAAATGCTATCGTTCTATTTACTTGCTATGAAATTATCACCTCATGATTGTTAGTGAAAATTCGAAGCCAAATTTATTATTGTGTCTGTATTATATACAGGAATGTAGCGCAGCCGATGGTACCATGAACAGAGCACAATTTTTAAATTTTTTTAAAGAGATAACTACTAGACCTGAAGTGTATTTTATCTTGGTTCGGTAAGGGCATCTAGCAGAAATGATGATAGACGTTTATAATTAAGATATTAAGAAATATTATGGTAAAGAAATTAGCCTAAACGGCTATTGGAAGAAAATTAGTTTTGAATACGTAAATGTGTACAAATATTAAAATTTTACATCTTACCTAATGCGTGCAAATATGATATATTGTTATTCAAAACAGATACGCTAATATTGGAGATTTCTTGACCGTTGATGATCTAATGGCATTTCTAGAATCAGAACAGGGGGTGCGTGTTTTCCAATGTATAATTAATTGCGCAAAATATCACGCATTTCTTAATTGAAAACAAGCTGAAGCAAAATTTAGAAAATTACAAAAAACCACTAAATATTCTGATATATGTAATAGGTTTCAAAATTAAGCAAAGAAGATTGTTTAGGATTGGTAAAGAAGTATGAACCAACACGTAGAGGGCGACGTGAGGGTTTTCTTGGTATAGATGGCTTCATAAAGTATTTATTGGAACAAGAATTATTTGACTCGAAACATTTAAACGTTTGTGAAGATATGGACCAACCATTGTCTCATTATTTTATTGCCTCTTCGCATAATACGTGAGTGCAATCTTTATCATTTTTCTATTAAAAGTAAAATGCTGAGATATTAACGTTGCTACTTATCTAATACCTGTATTAGAGATCTATTGGAAGACCAGTTAACTGGCCCTTCAAGCGTTGAGGCCTATAAAAGTGCCCTTTTGTCTGGATGTCGTTGCGTTGAAAGTATGTTATATAGTACTAATAAATTTTACTATCGTTAATCCATTGATCAATTACGAAATAATGTTTATATTAAATTACAAAACCATAGTGGATTGCTGGGATGGTCCTAATAATGAACCTGTAATATACCATGGGCAGTCATTAACAACAAAGATTACGTTCAAGTCTGTGATACAGGCTATTAATGAATACGCTTTTGTCGCATCCGAGTATGTTTATAAACAATAGAAACCAAATAATATTAATCTTTAATTCAAGTCCAATATTAATATTAAATTTTATTTTAATTAAAGCTTAAGTTAGCGAATCTGTTAGTTGTAGTCTAAGCTTTGCTGGGTTATTCAATTTGCGGGAATAAGGTATCCGGTAATACTATGGATTCAAAATCACTGCTCTACGAAGCAGCAACGTATAATTGCCCATTATTTAAAAGAAATCTTAGGCGGTTAGTAATACTAACAGTATGAGAGTTAGCCTTTAATATATCAATGACGATTTCAGGCAAAATAGGAATTTAAGAATTAATACTTGATTATATATCCTAAATTACAGATAAGCTATGCAATCATTTTATCAACGAAAATCAAAAATTACTGACTTCACCTAGGCGTTTACGAAGAAAGATTATTCTGAAGGTGAAATAAATTTCTCAGGATTTGAAATTTTTCTGGGCTACAAATGTGGCGTTTCGACTGATATTGTCAATTATTCTATAAAATTAGGGCAAAAAATTACCAGTTGATTGTAAAGAGATGGAAGGATTCGTATCTGATGAAGAATGTTCGGGCCATGCCCCAGAAAATGGTGAAAAGAAGAAAGCTAAAAAGGTAAGAACATCATACAGTACATGTATAGCATTAACTATTTACTGCATTACTACTTCGCCGCATTTACAGCATATAAGCGTAGAATTCTATACTTTGATAAAATCTAATAAGCCGCTTGTGATGTTGATATTTTACAATATGTTTCAACATAACATATATTAGTAACTTTACAATTATTATTTTAATACTTGAAGGATAACGCTAATCAAAACAAGAAGCAGGTGAAATTGATTAAGCAATTATCGGACTTAATCAATCTTAAGTGTATTACATTCAATGGCTTTCAGGAAGCTAAAGAAAATAACAGTAAGTCTTTATCGATTAACAGTGATATTTCGATATTATTCGTTACCTCGCAAGTGTTTCTTTATACTTTAAGAAAAATAACTAAAAAAGATAGCCTGACCGTTATATGCGTTGACGGCAAATCCTATAGCTCAGAATTTTTAGCAGTATGCGCGTACTTCATGTAATTAAACATTTTTTATGATTAGGAAATTATTATGAAACTTCATCATTTGAAGAAGTATCGGCATTGAAGCTTAATCAAGCGTCTCCGGATGAATTTGTTAATTTTAATAAGAATTACTTGAGCAGGATTTATCCAGCTACTAAACGCGTCGACTCTAGCAATTACAATCCGCAAGATTTATGGAATTGCGGTTGCCAATTAGGTTATTTTGGATGATACTGTTCATCCCCCAAAATTGATTTAACGGTGCTCAAAATTTTTTAAAAATTGCAAAGTAACAACTTTATCTTATTGAATTGTAGTGGCCATGAATTATCAAACACGCGGAGAAATGATGGACCTTCATACTGGAAAATTTACTGAAAATGGTGGCTGTGGATACGTTCTGAAGCCGCCAGCTTTACGTGAAGGTAAATCTATTTTTATTGTTTAGACTTATTCATTATAAGAGTAGTACATTATTATGTGTACTATTTACTTAGAAGTCGTTATTATCAAGGTATAAACGCAAAATCTCTGATTTTTTCGTATAGATTATTCTTATTTTAATCCATCAAGTAAGGAATCTATTCCAGGAGTGGATCCACAAATTTTACATATTAGGGTTAGTTACAATGAAAGTTCGTAGTACAGTTAATGAAAGTCGTTCTAAATTTTAAATTTAAACAAATTGTTGGCATTAATTTACCGTAGATCATTAGTGGCCAAAATTTACCAAAGCCACGAGGATCAGGTTCGAAAGTCAATGCAGTAGATCCCTATGTAATTTTACAAATCAATGGAATCCCGATTGATTGTGCGGAAGAGCGTAGTAAGACAATTGCAAATAACGGTACGTTACCAAATCATTTTTGGAGTAAAGTATGCAGTATGTGAAAGATGTATGATATAATGGTACTACTATTATATAATAATGTGGTAACGTATTGCATTAACCTGTGGTTAACAGGATTTAACCCGGTATTTGATGAATCGTATGAATTCCTGATTAACTTACCCGAATTGGCCATCTTGAGATTTTTGGTAAAAGACGATGAGCATATTGGTGATGACTTTATTGGGCAATATTCGATTCCATTAACTTGTGTAAAATTAGGTAATGTGCTAGAATAGTTTTATCATGAAATTGAAATTAAAAACTTTTCTTTAGTTCACTTTATTTCAATGAGATGAAGTCCGAAATTTGTTTTCTATTAGGTTATCGACATTTAAAATTGTACGACGATACTGGTGAACTGATACCGCTGGCTACCTTATTCATACATGTCGCAATGACTGGCAAACGAGCCTTCGGGGTATATTTTGACAACTTTCGCCAGTATGATCTGCTTTAAATCCTACGTTATTTGGCTAACCAGATTAATTTATTGCTTATGCCTACACATAGTCGTACAAACGTGGTATGTCCATAAAGAAACTTAAAAAAACTAGAGAGGTATAAATGCAAAAAAGATGCTGTCATTACCATTAAATTTTTACTCTTCATTCATTGCTTTAAGTGTTTTCTTTATTAAACTATTAGTATGCACAACTAAAGACGGTCGGAATTAAGTCTATTGATGAGATATTCAAGGTTATATAAGCAATTGCATCAAAATAAAGGATGTAGGGTAATAATTCGCTTTAGGAGATTGGGAATGTCATTAGTTTTATTATTACTTATAACAGGAAGCTGTAAAGCCATTGCGAACTAGTACTGATCTCAGAGATAATGTACAAATTGCAATAGCTCAATTCAAGGTAATTAAGTGTTTTACTTTTTTAAAGATGATGCTCGTAGATTGTAAAATTATTAACACTTTTGTAATTTTTATTAAATACGATACAGGAAATATGTGGCTTAGCACCTTCTTCTAATATTAAACAATGTATAAAGTATTTAACATCAAGATTGACAGGTTCTTCACAAACATTCTCGCTGTCCATAACATCCAATGAGGGGGTAAATGATGCAAATGTTTATGTCCTCTTATTTTATTGCATTTAGAATATGTTTTCAATGTTATTATATTAGGAGAGAGAGCTGCTGATTAGTTACTCTTGTGACGTAATAATCGGCATGTATGAAATATTAATTGAATTTGCTTTAATGCAGTATCCCCATTTAGAAGCTATTGGAGGTGTTCCTGAAGGATATAAAAAATCTATTTCAACCTTCCAATCGGTAATACCTCATTGACCAAATTTTTTCTCCATTCTTACTTTATTATTTACTAACGAATTATTTGTTAGATGATAGACGAAGGTAGAATTCTACTTGATAGCGCCCCTTCTCTACAGGAAAGGGTTTGTATAACATTTCTGAATAATTGTGATAATTTTTTAGATACTATAGATGTCATTGATATAATGTTAAAAATTGTATTTTAATGTTTAATTAGCTTGAGCAGCTTATATCGGACGCGGTTAATTTGCAGGTAATTAAACTGATGTTTATATTGAGCTATTTGATAACAATATCATTCACGTGTATGTTGGTATTATGAAATCATTTCTGGTTTGTAATAGGGCGAACTGGTGTCCTATATTAGTAAAGAGAGTGGAGTCAAGAACAAGAAATTATTAAAGGTATCATATGTAGCTGCTGATTACGTATATTGATTCTAAAATGTCTGGATAGTAACTACAATTAGGAAAATTATTTACTCTCAAGTTTCATCGTATTAACTTTAATCTTTAGGTAAAAGATAATTATGGATGGAACATGGCTATGATGAGGGGGCAAGTACGGCTTCTAATCGAAGCATATAATGAATTTCAAGTTTATGTGCAAGAGGTGAAGCAAGTGGCTAGTAATATTTACGATCTTTAGGAAATTTTAAACATACTAATGCCTAATAAAATAACTTGCACGCTTGCATAGATCCATGATGTTGGCAAAAATAGCAATATAGCGAAACCAGTCTAAGTACTTCTCTACATAGGATTGGTTGCAGATGCTGCAATACACTATTACCTTAGTTGCAAAGCTTATTCTTCGCTTTCGCCTACCTGCTCACTTCATGCACTTTGTATTTGGCATTAAAAAGCAGTTCCTTGTATCATATGCTTGATAATTTTTGTATTTACATCTAGCTTACGGTGCTTTTTATATTGTATCGAGAAATGTTGGATATGCGCGTACCTTGCATGTGTATGTTTATACGTACCCATCTATGCTGTAAAATATCTTCAATGGACAATTCATTATAGAACTACTTTAATACGTTGTAGCCGACTTTATTCAAATGATGGATTATTTTAAAATCATATTGAAGGCTACCTTTATCGGTTAGGTTATAACAGTGATATCGAATTTCAAATATTGAAACGATTTATATCAATGCACTTAACTTGACGTAACATAAAATGCTAAAACTTGTCACGTCATAAAACTATCATTATTGTTTGTTCTATAAGAATATATTGTAATTAAGTGTTCAATTACCGTTAGAGATTTCTTTGATTTGACTTGAATATAGTACTTGTTCTTTAAATGCAAAAGTACTGTATTTATGATATTAATGTACTTTATTCTACAGCAGCCTGTATTAGGTCATATGTTACTAACAGAGATAGTGTACAACATTCCTGTATTCACGAGTTCTATGTAATCTCACATTTACTTGTAAAATAATTTACTTGGAGTGCTTGCTTTTCCAGATGGAGTTATTTCCAAAAAGAAATTAGGAAATTTTTTTCTTTTATCATTATTTTACAAATGGTTTATTAACACTATTATCTGAAGTAAAATTACAATGTAGTAGTTCAACCATGTAACAGTAGATGCTATCAATAGTCTAAGCTATTTATCAGAATGTATTATTAGTCCTATGTCACAACTGTGGGCTTAAGTTGTATAGATACGAATGTATTCATATTCGATTGAATTATTTTATGTGAATGTTAAGTTGAATTGATCGTTATCTCTATTCAACCGATCGCCTTAACGCTGCGTTGATTAATAACGTTAAAATTCCGTTACTAGAATGCAATAAGTTTGTTGTAATAAAATTTTATTACAGTAGGCGCACTTTTGAGTTATCATTCATGGCTGACAAAGATAGTTGGCATCGCATTATTTGTACAATAATACTGTACATTATCAATCAATTTTGCGAGATTTAATAAAGTTTCATTGTTAATAAGAATTATTTACTAAATCTATTTTTTTAACTTGAATTTGTTAATGTTTGTAATTTCATCAGCATGTTAGTTTATCATCAGTAGTAAATAAGGAACAATACAATGACCGTTCTTTGGTAATAATGCAACAAAATTGCTTGCTTTTTTTTAGATTTATACTAGTATGTTACAAAAAGATTAAGTTAGTTTAGTCGCAAACATGCGTAGGACTACCATCGGCAATAAGATGTTCGTATTATGTTCAAATTATTATGTTGAGTTATACTGTAAGCGCGACCGTTGTCTAAAGTGATAAAGTTGCCTACTCTTCATAACCGGAAATGTTAACATCTGGTCTTAATCGAAAGCCTGAAAAGTAAAAATGATTACGTGATGAGATTAAATTGAGCGCATTACAGTCAATGATCTTCATATAGGCAATTATAAACTTACGAGTCGTAAACTGTGTTCTTGTTCATTCCTTTTAATTTCAGATTGACTTACAACATTATCCACTTTTCTCTTTAAGAATTCAGCATTTTTATCAATCCATTTTAATGCCTCAGTATGAGAATTGAGAATCTTAGTGACTTGTTGCATAGGGTTATTATTTTGTCCACTATAGCACTTGTTCAATTTTTCAATAACTTCGGTTAAATCGTGGCACATCTGTTGTAAGCGCACATCAAGTTCACAAGCACTGCTATACATTTGCTCCCTTTCTTTGTCAATAAGATGAGAACCAAACGAGCTAGATTGTTGCTGGACAGTTGTTTCCAAAGGAGAAAGCAAGTGCTCTAGCTCCCGTTGTTGAGTGTCAATAAAGTCTAGTTCACTATTTAAGCGATCTTGATCGGCTTTTAAATTTTCTACATAGTCGCTGAGATCTATGATCTAAATAAATATAAAGATAATATTTTATAATAACTATTTGTTCTAATTTTTTAAAATGGCAAATACATGGGATGATAACTGATTGTCAGGCATATCATCTTGAATTAGCACAGCTTTGATACCTTTTTTTGATTTTCTCTTATGATATCATCCCAAGAGTTAACCTGAGCGGCTTGCTTCAAAAACACTTTTTCCTGTTCCTCCAATTCTACGCTCCACTGTCAATAATGACATGTAAAAATAATCAGAATAGGTTTCTTACCATGGTCAATCATTACCATAAGGAAATGCTATCATGTGTTGTTAGATAATATAAATAGGATAGATTGCTAATGATATTGCACTGCTGTTACCTTATTGACGTAATCATCCAGCTGTCGAAAAGTTAATTTCATTTGACTGTCAAGTTTTTTATGAAATAATTATTATTAGAGATAGGAATTATAGTATGGTAACGTAGCGTCGCACGTTATTGACTCTTTTTATTAAAGTTTATATTATCAAAGCCTGACTTACCTGCCCTGCTGTTTGTCAGCTATTTACAAAGAGAAAAAAAGTCCTTAATTAATCAATTTCTCAACAATGCAGGTACTTTTCGTAACACAGTGATCAATCTACACGTACACTAGTGTATCATCACAATCATTGGTAATTCCAAGTATTTAACTAACCCGTTGCTAAAGCTGCAGCATTGGATGTCGTACTGGTCGTTGGTAAAGCAAATGAGGTCTTATCTGCAATATATGATTGAATATTGAAGATAGAGTGAGTAATGCCTTCATTCATGGACGATATATTTTATAAATAGATTTACATTTAACAAAGTCTAGCTCATTAACGCACAAACACAAATTCATTCCGAATAAAGCTACTACATTACTTCATTGTTAACAAGGTAAGGAATTTCTACTACTTTAGTTCAGAAAGCCCTTTAAAACTACTACATATACGATTAATCGTTATCGGTGATTGTTTTAATTCCAACACCTTAGGCTTTATCTTCATTCAATTATATAAATTAATTCGTTTACCATCTGTAGTCACTTTACTGCGAATCACTTGGTAGTTATAATGAATTTGTTGTAATATGGTTAATGCAAAAGATAATAAGCTACCAATCTATTCGCTCCATTCTGCTGTACTACGAACCCGTTACAAACTAGCAGTCATTGTAGTGCTACGGATAACGTTTTGACTATTACAGTGTCATAAAACGATTAAAGGATCCTTTTCATCTCTTTCACTAGTTCTTTTATGTTACAGAAACTTTTATACCTAGTCCATGCAATACGAATATCTAATGGCATACAGGTATTACAATTGGCTCTATTCATGATAAAAATCTACTCTGAGAGTGTCAATTGAACGCAAAATAGATGACTAAGTCTGCACCGGGTGTATTGCAAATTATTTAGTGAGGCATGATACTGCCAAGACCTTACCTGATGCACTTGATGTTGTAATACCAGCAGTTGCGGTAGTAGTTAATCCTGATCAAATAGATGAAGTAATATAACAAACACTATTAGAGTATCACCATCATCTATTGATAATTAAACGATCAAGAGTCTTTTATTCAATCGTTTGGACCAATTAACCTCTACACTTACTGGTTACTACATTAATGGTCTTGTCAAGACACGAAAAGTTGTGTACGCAAAGCAGCATTAAATGATGAAAGTGTAGCAAGTAAAGTTAAACTAATGTGCAGCATTGATCAACTCTTACCAAAATTTAGTTTATCAGAGGTAGCATTAAATGAAAAGAGTGTAGCAAGTAAAGTTAAACCAATGTGCAGCATTGATCAACTCTTACCAAAATTGAATTTATCAGAGGTAGCATTAAATGATGAAAGTGTAGCTAGTAAAGTTAAAGCGTTAAACCGATGTGTAGCATTAATCAACTCTTACCAAAATTGAATTTATCAGAGGTAGCATTAAATGATGAAAGTGTAGCTAGTAAAGTTAAAGCGTTAAACCAATGTGTAGCATTAATCAACTCTTACCAAAATTGAATTTATCCGAAGTAGATGTTGAGGCTGTTGTTTTACCCATTGTAGGTTGAAACGACGGAAAGGTAGAAGCTATCAAAACAAGACAGTGGCTTACGAATCATATCAATTTCAACGTAGGCTAATTGGCACCGTTTATGCTATAACGATAGATTTTGTACATACCAGGTAATGTTGTTGTCGTAGCACTTGCTTGTTGATTAGGAGCTGAAGGTGTTAATGCAATCCCTTGTGATGATGTTGGCACGCTACTAGCACCAGTTGTTTTATCGTTAGGAAGATTGAAAGTAACAGTCGGTTTGGTCGTTTTAGCAGATGTGGTCGGAGCAGTTATATTGCCAAATGTGAAACCCTGAGGTGCTTGAGCAGATGTTGTTGATGCAGTCGGAGCAAAATTCAATCCTGTCGATGATTGACTACTAGCTCCACCCGTGGTGGCCGCAGTACTAGCCGGTGCAGTCGTGGTTAGAGATCCAAATGTAAATCCTGCAGTACTGGCAGGAGTGGATGTCGATGGCGCAGTATTGGTGGATGCAAAGAATGATGGCTTAGCAGCTAGAAATCATAGTTTAGAATGTATCAATAACAAATTGAGATCATGAGTGTTGATCACACAAGTAATATCAGACAGTTGACGTGTATGGGTATCTATGTACTAGTAGAGAGACATTTGCTCCTATTCTATCATTACGGTGCACAACGTATCTTTCTAATCGAGCAAATGCTCCATCCACAACGTTATTCCTTCCTTATTTTACAGTCGTAAACAATTACTTGGGCGTAAAGTCTATCATTGGACAGCAGAATCTTACCTGTCGTCGCCGTAGTACCGCCACTCATGCCACCAGATTGAAATTGGATAGCACCCGTTGTAGCAGTAGAAGCTGAACTAGCAAGCGTTGGGGCTGTTGTCGAGCTACTGGCAAGTTGTAATTGGAATCCAGCGGCAGGATTGATTGATTGCGATGTCAACGCTGGCATAGCACCGGTTTTAGGTGTACCTAAAGTTATATTGCCTACGCCACCCGTTTGTGTCTTTGGAGTACCAAAGTTAAAGGCAGTGGTCGCTGCAGTTGGATTGGTGTTGGTCGTTGTCGAACTACCAAAGTTCAACGACGATGTTGCTGGGGTAGAATTACCAAATTGGAGTGGCTTATTACCAGTATTGCTATTGAATTGAAAGCCAGTTGATGGATTGTTTGTTGCAGCAGAAGTACCAGCTGCGTTGGCAAAGAATGAAGTTGTGGCCGAAGTAGTAGTCGCAGTGGTTAACGTAGAAGGGTTAGTCAATGAAAATTGTGGGTTAGCAGCAGCACCCGGCGCGGTCGTTGTCGTCGGATTGGAGGAGCCAAAGGTAAATCCTGCTGTAGTACTTGTACTTCCACTACCAAATTGGGGTTGATTATTACCAAACTGTTGTTGATTACTACTACCAAATAATGATGTCTTGCCACCCATCGATGGTGCTGTATTGCCAAAAGTAAAGGCAGAAGAAGTTGCTGTTGTACTTGATGGTGCACCAAAGCCCAACGTACCAGTAGGATTATTATTATTATTATTATTCCCACTCGCCGATGGATTGAAATTGCCAAAAGCGCCAAAAGTCGATTGCTGCTGCTGTGGCTGTTGCTGCATGGTATTGGTATTAGGTTGCGATGATGCTTGCTGTTGACCAAATGAAAAAGCTGGTTGAGAAGGCTGAGATGATTGATTTTGACCCATTGAAAAGTTGGATTGATTTCCACCAAAGCCTGTAAATAAATTGCCTCCACTAACGTTGGGATTGTTGGCAGCGCCAAAGCCACCCATATTGGCCGTAGGATTCTTCTTGGCCGCGGTGCCAAAACCACTGCCACCTGCTCCAAACATTGAGCCGCCACTACCACCACCAAACGACGGTGTATTAGCCATACTCAGCAATATTGTAGTACTAATTTCCAAGTCCAAATAGCGCTTAAAAATGGCCGATCGATCGAAATTCTCTTGCAAGGCTAACCAGAATTCTGGACAAGAATGGCGGTTAGGAGTCGCTGACTGAGCCTGTCCAAGTCGCACTCGACCTTGCAAGATTAACAGCTATACTAAGCCATGATGCCTGCACACCTGCAACAGTAGTCGAGGTAGTCTACTGATCCATGATGGGCTGTCGACGACGGCAGTCGACGGACGTCCGGACATGTCCATTGCAGCACCCTCCAGTACATTAAACTGTAGAATCGGCAGTATAGAGTACTGTAGATGGCAGGGGACTTAGAAGGCGTATGGAAGAGAGCCTGATGAAATGGCTACTTTCCAATATATTCTAGTCCTATTAGACCGCAAATTGCGGACCCCATCATGTTGCAGTACTAGTTACTACAAAAGATTAGTCTTGCAAGTCGCTATAAGCCCAGGTGAGAACAAAAAATGTTCTTCTATTCGGTATATTAGATGACATAGCTATGCTCATGGGACTTGCAAGACGCATGGAAGAGAGCCTGATGAAATGGCTACTTTCCAATGTATTCTAGTCCCATTAGACCGCAAATTACGGACCCCATCATGTTGCAGTACTAGTTACTACAAAAGATTAGTCTTGCAAGTCGCTATAAGCCCAGGTGAGAACAAAAAATGTTCTTCTATTCGGTATATTAGATGACATAGCTATGCTCATGGGACTAGCAAGACGCATGGAAGAGAGCCTGATGAAATGGCTACTTTCCAATGTATTCTAGTCCTATTAGACCGCAAATTGCTAACCCCATCATGTTGCAGTACTAGTTACTAGAAAGAGAAGTCTTGCAAGTCGCTATAAGCCCAGCTGAGAGTAAGAAATGCCCTTCTATTCGGTATATACAGTATTATATATATTCGGTATATATTAAATGACATAGCTATGCTCATGGGACTTGCAAGACGCATGGAAGGAGAGCCTGATGAAATGGCTACTTTCCAATGTATTCTAGTCCTATTAGACCGCAAATTGCGGACCCCATCATGTTGCAGTACTAGTTACTAGAAAGAGAAGTCTTGAAAGTCGCTATAAGCCCAGGTGAGAACAAGAAATGCCCTTCTATGCAAGGCTACATGCCTCTTGAACAAATGCTCATTTCATCCATTTTGGACTCTAAGATCAGTCTTGGATCAAGTGTGTCCAGTGCAAAGCTAGTCCTACTATACAGTACAGTGAAAAGGTTGACTGTTATGCAGTACAGAGTGTCCTCAAATACTCCCAGCGCACAAAATTCAAATTCGTCTGGGCAAATTGTGCAGCAATTTGCTGCAATTGCCCGAAATGTACGTAGAGTAATCAATCACCGATCATAATCTGAAGTTCAAATCCAAGTCACTGTCTTTGTCTTACAGTGACGAGTACTGTAAAAGACTGTGGTCTAATTACTATCATACAGTGAAAAGTGACAATGCTTTGACTAAAACTAGTTTGAAAAACTACGCTGTCTTACAGTGACGAGTACTGTAAAAGATTGAGGTCTAATTACTATCATACAGTACAGTACAGTACAGTACAGTGAAAAGTGACAATGCTTTGACTAAAACTAGTTTGAAAAACTACGCTGTCTTACAGTGACGAGTACTGTAAAAGATTGAGGTCTAATTACTATCATACAGTACAGTACAGTACAGTACAGTGAAAAGTGACAATGCTTTGACTAAAACTACAGTACGTTGTCTTACAGTGACGAGTACTGTAAAAGATTGAGGTCTAATTACTATCACTGTACAGTACTGTACAGTGAAGTGAAAAGTGACCATGCTTTGACTAACTATTCTTGGACTAAAACTACTTTGTCTGCAAGTTCCATGAAGTCATATTTCGATTAATCTTATTACATTATATGATTATGTGACAACAATTTTCGCTTGGACAGTTCCATAAGATCGTCGATGTTATTCAAATCAGTGCCAGTGATTTCGAAAATAGTCTCGGAAAATCCATACTAACTAGCCATTTTTCCATATGGACAGTATGGCCTCATCGGGTAAGAGATGTCCGTCTGTCCGAGTCGAAGTCTTCTTCTAGCACAGTAAAACATTCTAACGTACTGTATGGAATAAGGCCGAAAATGTGGAAAAATAGTCAGTGACTCAGTCTAGATCTTGCGTGTCTGTTTTCGAAATCACTCGTATTCATTTGAAGAACGTTCATGATGTCCATTGACTGCTCGTAAGCAGAGCTTAGTAACAGTGAATGCAATATTACTTAATTTAGAAACAATCAGTCTATTTAGAATCGACTGTCGGCAAACTAAAGTACTGCCATCGTCAAGTGTTGCACACCATTTTATTGACCAAAGTAGCCCCATGTCTGTCTGTACTGTAGTCCATGGTACAGGATCCTGAAGCTCGTAGTTCCGAGCCTTCCGACCTTCCTTGTGCATCCAAGCTTCCACCCAAATCCGATCGACTGTAGCATGGCGGAAAAGTATCCAACTCTCTTTGGTAGCCTGCCCTGCCTGGCTGCAAGGTTGTGCTACGCATAGATTGGCAAATCATCTCATTGCATGCTGCCTTTTATCGCCAGGAATGCAATGGTTATGGAGAAGCGTAGTGAGTTAGTATTGTTACTACTGTCGTGTAGAGCAATCTTGTTACACAGGTGCAATAATGGACTAGCTCACTTCTCTTGCACACAGCTTTGACTGTTTCAATCTCATAGCCATAGCCATTTGCAATGTTCAAAACTAGTCGCAAACTTAACTTGCGAACTACTACCCTAAACTAATAGATTACTTATCCCTATCTCCACTACACCTGCAGGTCTACTGTATGGTAGTCCTTTTCTACTTACGGTCAAAACTTGTGGTGCATATATAGTAACTTAGCAACATAAAACTGACATGGGTCGCCTATTGCCATTAGCACCATAACGAAATCGACTTCATTAAAACATGGACGGTGCTTTGCTCTGTAAAAAAAACTACTCTCGTGTGGCGCTATCAACCCTCTTGCTTCTCCTTGACCCAACCATCTGTATATCTAGTACATGTTGTGCGGGCTAGAGGCTCATGGTAATATTTATCTAGTAACTACTTTCGTGTAGAGCGATCAACTCGCTCGCATAACTTTCTACTGTGCTGTATAAGTGTATATCCGGTAGATGTTCCGCTGGCTAGTAGGTTATCATGCTGTGATAACTACTTTCAGGGAGTATAATCAACTCCTTCACTTCTCCTTACACACAACTTTTGACTGTAGAGTGCAGATCCAATTGATCTTTCGTGGCGCTACTGTCTTTTCCTTTGCATAGTAACACGAGCTAACTTAACAATCTGCTGTAAACTAACGGTCAATTGCAACGACTGGCATGGAGCTAGATGAAAGAGAAATCGTCTACAGCCATGCTACAGTGAAGGAAAGTGGGTTAAAAAAATGCCACAACATCAAGTTCAATGACGAGCTTCAATAATTAACTTGAATGCATTTCCACTATTGCCAATAATAACAGACGAGTATCTAGCCCCTCTCGACGTTCGCGTGACTCAGAATAACAACTCTTGACGTCAAGTACCAACCATCATCAATGGTCAACAGAACAGATCTCGCAAGGAAATATTCAAGCAATCATGAGTTATACTATCCTCTAGAATCAGCATAACTACACTACCGAATGAATCCATCATCATCTTACCATGATCATGGAACTACTGCATAGTTTCGCACGATGCCAAACTGTTCAAATTTATTGCATTGTCTTTAGTAATAAAACTAATACTCGTTAATTATAGCTAGCATCAATACTCCGCCATCATCATTCCTTGACTCAATGCAGCTGCCTACAATCATGATGGATTAACTCGATCAGTCATCGTTACCATTTGACTTTCCATTTAAACGTCCATCAGAAATGAATCGATATCACTAAAACCTCCATAGGCTTGCAACTTGAGCCCTTCAATAAAAAGTAAATCCTATTACTAGCTTGCTAACAACATGTCTCCCTTATTCAGAATGACTCCATCATTCAACACCAACTGCTTGATAAACCAAACGTAATAAAACTACGCACACACTCAATGCCAACTTATTGAATACCAACTACGTCAACATCGATTCTATCCTGTCACTTTGAGAATATACAACGATCCAGTTATCGAAGTAAATAAGCTTCAGGACAGATCTATTCATCATGATTAGTCAGTTTCAGAATAGATGATCTGATGATAACTAGTTATTGCATGCTATGACTATCATATCAAGGTTAATCCATGGCCAAGATAATCTATTGTACTAACTTACGAAATACAGCACAGGCATGATGGCTACCAAACCTACATCGGACACTAAATTAGTTACTCATGATCTCAACGTTTAGGATAATGTGGAATACACTCCCATAAGCAACAAATGTTATTGTAATCACTCAAACAATTCCATTTGAATTGAAATTGTACCCATGACGGATTGATTCAAATTCAATATTGGCGCAACTATGTTCAATTCAACTCATGGCGGTTCTTGCAACAACAACGCTTTAATGTTGTTTCCGCTAGATTCATGTATTAAGCAATTAGATATCATTTGGATATTCATAAGGAAATAAACAATACCATCTTGAACTAGAATATCGTTATAATAGAGTCAATACTGCATCTTTATGACAATCATAATAGACGAGATAGAATCTCAATCATCTCGTCTTCATCACTTGAATATCATTTCTCATTGATCGATTTCGACTCAATAATCATCAATCCATTCAAATAGGCAATATGGTTACTAATGCCATTCATCAGCACTGTTTTGATGATGAATCATAGTGATTGTTAACTCCTATCCAATGTATCCAAGATATTAAATATAATCACAATGTGATAGGATAATCCATCGATCAGTTCAATGCTGTCATCAACTCAATAGGTCAGAGTTGCGAGAGGAAAGAAAAAGTGATTCAAAATAGGAGATTAACATTACAAAGCCAACATGACATCAGCAATGTAGGACAAAAGTAAATTATTTCTTCCTATTCTGTACCTTGATTTCGTCATCATTCTTTTAATTGGTTATTGCAGTAATAGATTGAATTCTATTCATATCCAGATTGGAAGGATACACTTGCCTCTAATCCAACTCCATGCCAATATTTGACGATACAGTATCATTTCATGATAAAGCAGTTGGGGTCGTCTGCTGGTTATTCAATAAATTAACCGAGTCCTTGTCCTTTAACGCAACTTTCATGAAAACATATTCATCATCATTATCATCCTTGATTACTCTTCCATCTATTTGGCTTTTCCATCCTCTATTTTGATCCAGCCAACGAACATCAAGACAATTGTAAATCGGGCATAAAATATCATTTTACTCAGGTTCATTTATATAAAATAGACAAAATCAAACGCGCTCCATCTCTGTCTTGCTCCACTAGGGCGGATCCTAATCTAAACATTAGCTATTGTCTCTTTAATTAAAGAAATTCGCCAAATTTTATCACTTTACCATCGTTATTTCACCCGCCATTTCAACTGGACGTAAGAGTTTTAAACTAGAAACGATATCACCTGGATCGTTATTAATCAAATATATTACAGGTTAGTCTCGGTTAATATAGAGATACCCATATTGAAAGGATTAGTTCACCATTTCTTTTTATTCTTAATTGCCTCTCTATAGTCTTGGTAGAACTCGACTAAGTTACACGATGTTTAGATAACTTGCTGATCGTAGTTTATCGTTAATAAAGTGAATTTATTGTATTAGAGTAACTCCAGCGATTCATCCGACTACAGGACTAGTAAACTTATTACTACAACCATTACAAATAGGATAATGAAAAACATTACAGAAATAATACAAAAAAACAGACATACGAGTACAGCAATCCATTCCTGACTGCTCATGATCGATATTGTCTTCTATTTCATTACTTTACAGCAATATCTTTCAGTCATTTCTTCAATTATTAACTATCTTCCTATCTTGGTTCTTGCCAGATCAAAACGATCTTATCACATTACTTCTATTTATCGACATAGTAATCAAAATCTAGGAAAACAACATGGGCAATGAAAAAAGCAAACCCAAACATAAATTGGATCCCAAGGAAGTAAATAAGGCAAGGTAATTTATTTTGGCGAATCCTTTCCTTCCTTTACAATCGTTCCATTAATTTAGGAATCAAATAAGATAAAAGTAGCCCTCATATTGAAAACAATGATTGAGAAATTGATCAATATCCGCTTGTTATTCCTATTTAAAATAGACATGACAGATACTATGTTGATGATCGGTAGATAGGAGAGGATTGATGTGAGTTGAAATGTTTATTCCATTGCTATTTTAGATCACGAAATAATCAATCCCCTCAAAGCAACAAATCTGAACATGTACGAGCCTCATTTGCTGATCCATGGGAAACACGCCAACGAAATCGGAGCTTAGATGTATGTTCAATTTTGCTTGAAAAGAATTCTCTTCAGTTTGTAAAGTATTCTTTTTTATGAATTATTATTCATCCGTCTTCGTCTATTTAGCGTAGACCGCTCAGTTATGCTCGTAAACGTGTAGAAGATAATTGAATTAATATTGATTTTTGTTCCATCGTCACAACGATCCATGTTGTGGTTAACGCTGTTAAATGGGGTCGCGATCGATATGATATCGGTCGGGTAGATCATGTTATGGACAACATCAAATGATCAATTTGACAACATGAAAATCCATTTCTTTGTAGTACCTATTGAATAGGAAGAAATGAACAAATTATTATTTTGTATTTTATACCATCTAAGTCAAAGATAAATTCCCTTAACGTTATAGCTTTGGATATATAGACCCAACAAAGGATTCAATGATGGGCTATATTCATCCTAGTCAAAGAGGATAGGCATAAGTTTCAGACCAAACTGAAGAAAATGATCATCTATTTGAAATTTTCATCCTAGTTGAAGACTTATTTGTAGCCACAAACGGTAGAATTAACTAGATCAGGCATGAAAAACGTAGTGAAACGATGCCAAATGATTTATTTTCGTGTATCTTTATATCCAAAGATTTTGATACATACAGAGCAGAACGATTTAATTTTAGTGCTTTCATCGTATTCATTGGTAAATTTCTTATTTTAAACTGTGGATTGGATACAGAAGCTGAACAGAATAATTCACTTTTCGTATTTTCATCATAGTCAATGGCTAATTCATTTGATTTAACGTAGAAACTGAAAAGAAATTCTTTTATTTCATAATTTTATCACGACCAGATATTAATTTCATGCTAATAACGCTAGATCGGACGTTCAAACTGAACAAAATCGAATTATTTTTTTTAAGTTTGTCATTTTGCAGCGCTAAATCCCTGTTAAGAAACGGTAGACTTACTGTAAAAGTTAGACGAAACCATTCACTTGTCATCTTTCCATCGTAGTCGAAGATTAATTCTATGCTTACATGCAATGGATTCGACGTAGAAACTGAACAAAATCACACAATTTTCACGTTTTTTTTGTACCTAGTGATAGATTAATATCGTCCCTATTACCCCTTAATTTGATATAGGAGATGAGCAAAATTATATTTTTCGCGTTTATCCGTCATAGTGAAGCATTAATTCTATCATTTATACCGTAGATTTGATATGGAAATTGAGAGAAAATCCTACATTCTGCATGTTTCTCATCTTACTGTAGCCAAAGATGAATTCCATCTATCCGTGCAAAGATTTGATGTTCAAACGGAACAAAATTCTTCTCTCGCATTTTTCATCCTAGCGAAAGATTAATTCCATCTTGACGTCCAAATATTATCGTAGAAATAGAAGAAAATAATTTTTACTATGATATTTTTATTCCAGTTCAAAATCATTACTAATAAATGCACTAGATGAATAACGTCAATTAATTTGATAGTATATTGATAGTAAAAAATGAATGGATCTTTTAGGCGAACGTCTAGTTTTTATTCTATACTAATTAAACGCATTGATGACATAAAAATGGATAAATTCTTTCTATGTTTAATTTATGTTTAACATTGATTAAGCATATTGACAGTATAAGATTTGATGGATTCTTTATGTCCAGTTTTTATTCAGTATTGAATCAAAGGATAGACATAAAGGATACTGCAATTAAGCTAGAAGTATATAGACTAAGAGCAATTGTGAACTCTGATTGACTTTAAGCAGAGTACGATATAAATCGTGCATGGCCATTGCATCTAGCCTTTAACTTTGAGAAAAGCTCTAGCATAAAGTATTATTGACCCATTCTAGAAGTAGACGGGCAATGATAACTCAAACTGACTTTCAAAGTTTAACGTTCATAATCAATATATCTAGCCTTTAGCTTTGAGAATAGCTCTGGCATAAAGTACTATTTACCTATTCTATGGGGCAAAATTAAGACATCTAGCGATTACATCCATTTCCCGAATTAAGTGCCGATTTCTTTCTACTATAATTAGGGCCTCCCCTCCAGTAGAGACAGCCGAGATGCGGGTAAGTCAGAAAGACATTGAGTTATCATTTCAATTTAGAATTTTACAAGAACTAATACAGTAGCTGAGAGTAATTTTATTTGCTATTAGTAATTCTATCAATAGTGCGTTTTAGTTACAGTCTAAATGGATTATCAAGTTTTTCCAGTTTCATCGAACGCTTGTACATTTGTGCTATTTTCTGTCCATGTATATTATGGTCGTCTCCATTACAACATATTCGAATTTTCTGTCTTCCCGTTGCATATATTCATGTGTTGCTATTTTCTCTTATACTCCTTCAATATTCAAGGCAATCATCGATCAGCGACTTTAGCATTACGTAGAGGAGAATCATTCTTAGTTGAGGTAAGCGGATAGATTCTTTTACTATTTTTATTCCATAAAATGTACGATATGAGAACCAAAGCAGTAGTTCGTCTGGAGATAACTTTCATTTTATTCTATAACGACAGTCTATTGACAGCTAAAGAGTTCTTATAAGGTTTCTATCGTAGTTTGCCATATAAATTATGCGAAAAAGCTCAGATTACCTTATGCTGAAGTAAATTGGAATGACTTTAAGCGTATATTCTATTAACAATTATAATCGATGGTCGCTATTGTTGTCCGCAGTATCTGATGAGCACATTAGTTTACGAAGAAGAAATGGAAACTATGACCGCAAAATACATTCTACAACATCTACAGGTAAAATGCATAGAATTAAGTATCAACTCCATCAAATAAATTCGTTTATTGATAAAATAACAACCGTTTCTATTGTTGAAATGGCGATCTTACTTCTATTTTACAATTAAGAAAACTGAATAATCATTAAATTAGTAAATTGAGTAAATTAGTAGCACACATTCTTAAATTATTGCTCATCTATTCATCTTGCTTATTCGATTTAGGAAAGAAAAGCAAGAAATTTGCTCAATATACAACCTACAGAATTGAGAATATGTCCCTATGATATTATTCTGTACGATGCTGCAACCAAGGTTTGACATTACCATTGCAAAATTAAATTAACCAAGATGAATCCATTCTTGATTGATAATATTTACAAGCAACGATTTGATATGATTTTAATTTCAATTCTTTTTTCCGCCATTTAGGAGAGACAAGATTTACTCCAATTTGAACGTCTAGAAGCCTGCCATCATATCACTGGCAGTAAAATCTTTAATAGCTTGCTGCTATTAATTATGCTTGTCCCGAATAATAATAGGCAGCGTTTAATCTATATGTTTCAATGTAGTACAACACCGGTGAGTACTAAAATTGTAAATCCGTTCCTGTATTGAATCTCATCGTTGTTTAGAAATTTCATGTTAATCTAACCATTAGCAATAATATTATACAGTAATTAAAAGGTATAATCTCTAAAAGATCTACCCATGAAATAGCGATTAGGCCCAAAATGGGTCGGACGGATGGTTAAAATTTACTGATTTTCCTAACTAAAATCTGCATTACTCGTACCAGTACCCTATTATTCTCATAGCTTGATAGATCTGTTAGTAGTTCTTTAGGCTAAAGTTTTACATAGCTATTCTGAGTGATAGCAATAAGGTCATGAGTTGAATTAAAACTTGCTAAATTACTCTATCATCATCTTCCTGTAACTGCAATACCAACTCAACAGTATACAATTTTCAAATTGTCTGCTTATATTAGTTACTTATTACATATATATTATATACAATATAGTAGAAATAAGGTCATAAATGGAACTAACAATTAAAACTTGCTAAATTGATACGCTATTCTCTACTTGTATCTACATTTCGCATTTGAAAATAATCATGAAAATTTTAAAGCAATCTTCTATCCTATCCTTAAATACAGGCACATGATTTCTTAAGTAATTTTCACATTTATTCATGGAATCGAATACTTTATAACATTGAATTATTTCGTATATTTTAGGCCGAAATGATATCTGATAAAGTTAATGTAGCTAGAGCGAAGACACCAACCAACCATTTACAAAAATCAAATAGGGTATTGTTTCACTGTTGTTTTATCAAGTCAACGCACAGTAGTAGAATTAGCGGATATTGCTTATAACCTAAATCTTGAATTTCTCTACATACTGTAGATTCTACCTCCATCAGAGCCAGCTCATACAACCCGTGCACAAGCTATTACAAACGGAGTGAGGGCGCATCCATTACAAGATAGGACAACTGCAAATCATTCCGTTTCCCCTAATTTACCTTACTCTAGTAATAATAGCACTCCCACGTCGGTTTTAGATCATTCATTTTCAGGCCGAGTACTAACTGCATCTCCATCATCAACTGAAATTGGAGCAATACAAAATGCTCAGTTGCTACAGCAAACGCAACTGCAACAGCAACTACAGCAAGCGCAACTGCAACAGCAACTACAGCAGCCACAAGTGCAACAACTACAGCAGCCACAAGTGCAACAGCAACTACAGCAGCCACAAGTGCAACAGCAACTACAACCATTACCTCCAGTTGTTCAGAATCTTACTACTACTAATCAAACTAAAGATGATACAGCAACATCTACGTTATTAAAAGATCTAATTGAGGCAGTTAAAGAAATAAAGTCTAGCCCAAATGAGATTAAGCAGTCAAGCACGAAAAAAGGCAAGAAGCAAAAGAGTAAAAAAGGCAAGAACAAAGTTGCAAGTAACCAAAGTGATTCTGAAGGAGGTGAAGATTCAGAGCCAACCACTTCTGTAAATGGAAAAGACCAGGAATCGTCTAGCAGTGAGAGTGATTCAGAAAGTGAAAAGGAAACTCCTTCCAAAGATGTATTAAATAATAAAGCAAAATCAGGTATGGATCACAGTTTCGTTATTAATTTAAAAATAGAAAGTTCATGCAAAGATAGCTAGCTCCCAAAGCTTGGATCTATCTCGTCAATTATAGCAGTTTATACCTCAGATTAATATGATTTGTAAAATAATGTCAGTATCATTCATCTACCGTTACTATTTTACCTTTACCTTGCAAGGGGAAATGTTCTCAGATAATTAATCGGCAATTTACTAATAATATTTAAAAATAAGCAAAATTTTTTAACTGCAAGCAAATCGCTATATCGTAGTCACTTGAGATCTGAGATTAATACCGTAATAAATACTAGTACCAGCACCTGTAATACCTTTATGTTACTGTTCTTAATAAATTATGTAGCGATCTCAGGATAGATTGGTAGTTCTTAAATAAATTGAGAGAATTTGTTACATGAATAAAGTGTAAAAGTGAATCAACACTTTTTACTTGCAATATATTTCAGATTTAGATCCTTAACAAATGATATTAGTATCATTTCTTCTTAGTTTATACGAGGTAGTGATCTCAAGTTAGGCTAATAATTTCTAATTAATATGAGGAGATAGATGGAAAGGGTGATCATAAATCTACGTTGAATCGATATCCTCCGTTAGTCAAAGACTTAATTTAGTATCTTCTACGAATAGCAATATCTGTAATCCTACCCTTGCTCTTACATCATTACTATTTACATTTCAGCAAAATAAAATTCTAATACCGTAGTGATCTCAGTATAAATTGATAAAATGATAATTATTTATTGAGGGCTAAATTTTAAATGGTATGTGGAGCAGATTAGCAAGCAAATCTTTTTAGATCACAGCGAAATATGATAAAATATATGTAATTGATTAATAGATTGGTATTGCTAACAAAACTATTGCTATAGCATAATTATGGGTAAATATTCATCCTAATCTTTTTAAGATCAATCGTCAACCCCCAAGAGTAGCAAAAAATCCAGGAAAACTCGTCGTTCTAAAAATAAAAATTTGGATAATGATGATCGATTTAGTATAACATCGGAAGAATCCAATCGATTACTAACGGGGCGAGATGAAATAGATCGACTCAGTGCGAATAAATTTTCCTCATCAGCATCGCCTTCAATAGTAGATACGTTCAATCCTCCTACTCAGGATCAAAGTATCAATGAATACACTTTGCTAGCAGCACAGCAACAAGTTGATTTTCAAGAGGCGCAATTGCAGCTATGGTATCAATCCTTGTTGCAGCGACAACAAGAACAAAGTGACTATCAATCTATCTTACAAGAAGCTGCAATTTCCCAGCAGCAACAAGTTGAACAAGTGGCTATACAGCAATCAGCTATCATTCAGCAATTACGCGATCAAGTTCTAATTCAGCAAGATGCCATTGCACATCATCAACAACAAGGAGAGATTGCACTACAAACAGCAGCTGCCTTAAAACAACAACAAGAATTGCAAGAATTAATACTACAACAACGTGAACAGCAAGAACAGTCTATACAACAAGCAATAGCTACAGAAAAACACAAACAGCAACAAACTGAATTACTACAAACGCTCTTATTACAACAGCAGAAGATTAATACGTTGCAAAATCAAGTTCAAAAGAAGCAGGGCAATGATAATCAAGAAAATCAATCCACAGACAGCAAGACCGAAAATCAAGGGCAAAATACACCAGCTAATGGCCAAACTAATCAGTTCAATCCATTACTAAACGTATTAGCAAATCCTGCAATTGGAACACAAGAACAACTTTTACCGTTATTACTTCAGCAGCAGGCATTAAATCAAAATCCACTAGATCAATTCAATCCCAATAACATGCAAAATTTACTTTTACTTCAGCAATTGCAATTAAATGGCCAGCAGTCCTTTTAATGGGCAAATATCTAGAAATTGTTTACATATCTTTAATAATATCTTCTCAACCTTTCTGTTTTTTTTTGCCTTTATAATCGAAAAGATGCAATTAGAACTAAAATTTACTGTTCAATTAAACAGCCAAGAAATAAGTTAATATGATTTGAGAAACGAATTCATCACATGTAGGTGATATGTTTTAGCTTTTTCCAACAAATAGGAGAAAGTTATTTCCACAGCAGCAACTACTAAGCTGCAATAGCCAAGTAGCTGCGAAATATTTACAATCTTTTTATTTTGGGCTATTAAAATAGTCAAAATACCTTGATAATTTTACTTAATAATGTAATTCTATACTTGAATTGATTGTATTTTCTCTGTTCGTCAATGGTTTCTGATAATATCATGATCAGATTTGTAATTTAAGCTTTTCATTTGTTAGTCTATTAGGTGACCAGAATCTGCTTATTTAACTTTTTCGTAGAGATTTTATGTTTTAGCTTGCATTACTTTTACCTGTTTCATGTATAAAGTACATTAAAATTATTAAATTGATTTATTTTCATCCATCATTTTCTTTACTCGGTTGTTTATTGTAACATTTTAATTTCTAATTATATGCCCTACCGTGGTATGTATTAGAAAATTGACCTCAATCCTAATCTATGGTATATAATGTATTCTATACCATCTTGATATCATATATGTATGTAATCGTAGTAAATGGAATAATCATGAAATTGAATCAGTCTAGAAGTCTGCAACGGTTCTACGATCTCTCCAAACCATTTCTAGAGTACAGAAAAGTTTACTACGTAATTACAAGAATGATTGCATTTTAGACCTGAAATGGGATCAAATTGATCATATCAAAGCCTTTAGCATAACAGTTGATGCCAAACTGGGTTTTAAGTAATGTTGCAGTAGTTTACCGATGGAATGATTGATAATTTGATAGGAATGCTTAGTTATGATTACATACTAAATATTTGTAATATCCATTAGTCAGATTGATGAGATGCAGGCTAAGATTTCTTATGCTACAGTTGAAATCCTAGTACAATTTTATGTGATATTCTTGTCATCTCTTAGTCAAATTGACAAAGATATTGGCCACATTTCATGTGTTGCAGCTAGATCTCGAATATAATTTCATGTAATATTCTTCCAATATACACTATGTAGACGCGTTGATGGGACACTGTCTAGATTTTATGTATTGCAATGGGAATCTCTTTTGGAATGTCTAATGAAACCAAAGATAAAGATACCGCAAAGATATTTATCTGATTTCATGTTCTATCATTGCGTTTCTATAAAGAAGATTGATGCTAAGAATGGATTTCATGTGGTATGATTCCAAATTCCCATAGAAAAAATTATGATACCAAGTCAACATCTCATTTCATGGAATGGGATTTTAATCTCCAATTAGAGGAATAATAAAGACAGCAACTAGATTTTTATGTCGAGAAATTCTTATTGTTATGAAAATTTTTGACTATTTTTAAATCTACTTCGACTTCTTGCATTATTAAAAGTATTAATTTATCCTCTTTTGCCTACGACAACAAAATGGAAAGACAGTACCATTTAATAAATATTGTAGCAATTCACAGACTGGTATCGCAATAGATTATGAATTGTTGACTATTTCTCTCTAGAATAACCATTTATTTGCCTAACGGCTTTTCTCTTTCACTTAATGAATGTTAATAATCTTTCATTGGCTTCTGCATATAACTCATTTCTGTTATAGCTTTTATCATTGGACTAAAAAATAATAATTAGAAAAATTCTTCTATATCATGTACGATTAATAAGATTGTCATTAAGCTATTCCTGTCTATATCCTCATTATTTATCAGACTGTGATGACATTATGATTATTATTTCTTACTGTATTTAGCGTAGCTTACTGTCAATTTTAAATCTTAGAAACAAGACATTAATGACCATCGGACTAAGACAACAATTGAATAATAGGCAATGTCTACTTTTAATCGCCATGTGGATGAGGAAAATGTAATTGGAATAATAGCACACTCTGCTACTAAGAAATTAATGTAGCGCAAATAACATTTAATTATTTTTTTGAACTTTTATATACCTTACGCTTAATGTCATCTGTATGCGAAGATGAATAAATGTATATGTCTAGAAATTTTGTTCCTGCTTGCTTAAATGCATTTTTTTCGGTGTTTCTTTCCATCGTACACCGTCTAGATTAGACGAAAGTACCGTAATATTATTCATCGCCTGAAATTTTATTCTGTTACAACCAGTAGCCGATATTTTCGAAAGCCTTATTTAATTATTTATTTTTCTCAACTACTCAATCATAAGGACGTATAATGTATGAGTTCTTAATATTTATCAAGACTTACTTTATTAAACATAAAGTTTTACACTGTATACTATCACTGTATTCCTAACACATAACTACCTTAATTAGCTGAAATTATTACAAGACGATATTGAAATTAGTGTGGATTAGCAAGAACTTTCTATCTGGCTACGTTAAGCATTGATAACTGGCAGTAATCTACCGAAATAATACAGTATAGGCGCATTTTTATGTACCTGCTACTTCGATGGAAGCAGATTTCAGCACCAGAAATCGGTTTGCCAAAACTTTCCTCACTTCATTACAGTAAATACTTAGCTTTGAACTATATGTTTAATCTCTATACAGACGTAAAGTCATATCCCACTCCAATCTATTCTGCGAAATAGTTAAAATAAAGTCATTGATTTGACCATGACTGCATCATCATCGATTCACAGACGTACACTAATAGTTTGGGTAATAATCGATTGATTTATTAGTTGTATGTAACTTTTTCGAGTAAAATATACCATTTACCTCTTAAATAGAAATTGTACTCGGGCAAATTATCATCCTATTCGATCATAGCGAATAATCATACATCTTATAGATGTAATGAGGTTGTTTCAATACCTCTATTCAGTAGATATCACCAAAATCATGGTAAAATAAGCAATAAATCCTACGCAAAGATACAATAAGACAACTGTATCATGTGTCGACATGAAACTATCAGATCGTATCGAAAAAGTTATGGCCAAGTAATGCAAATAGCTAATATATTGTATTTTCGTACAGCAAAAATAGCAGAGTAAGAAATTGAAGTGGCCAATATAAATTAAAGTTTAATTTATAAAACTAGCATGATAGATATTTAGTTGGTATAAAAGAGTCTTGTTACTCAAAGGCAAGTCTAACCATGACTTCTTCGATATAAGCATCGGATTGTAAAAATTAACTATCGATTTCTGTAACTAGCGAGTATTTACTCATATGCTGGCAATCTGGCTTGTAAAAATGATTTAAGATCAAACACACATATACTCGTAAACCAGTTCCAGTCGCGTCAATGATTACTTTCCCTAATAATAATAGTTATAATTTAAACTTGTGGTTAATTTAAGTTCAAAGGTTATGTATTTCAAAATTTTTGCATAGTTTACTTTATTAATTAAAATCAATTTTATCTATTCGATTATCTATTCATTATTTATTATTTTTTATCCCAAGCATATTCCATGACAAATGTTGGTAACTCAGGAAGAATAGCTCTCATACGATTATGATAATCAACCAGTAATGAGTCAACTGGAAATGCTAATTGATGTCTGCCAACTAAATTTGCACATAAGACGGTCGCTTTACCACGTGAAGGCACTAACTTTAAATAATTTTGGGCACAACTTATTACACTATGATGATTGAAAAATTCTACTTGAACAGTAATATTATGAGCTTTTGGAAGATGTAATTTCCGCTTACAGCCAATAGCTAATGCTGGTTCCTTTGATATATGGATAGTTCCAGATGTTGACGTTTTTTCCTCAACAGGGCAATTGATTGCCTGAGAATCTAGTAGTAGATTATAAAGTTTGCTTTAAAAATAAGAACGAAATAGATTTGAAAGAAGTAATACAAATTATACTTTATAAATGATAATAACGTCGATTTATCCAGAGTAGAAGGCAAAATGTTATTGCTCACAGAGAATAATAATTAGATAGATTTATCAGATGGCGATTATAAATTTATGAATATTAACGTTAGAAGAATTATTAAAATTTTAACCGTGATTTAATTCGATGATTTAAGATCATGATGATACTAGGTTTAACTTCAGAATCTTTTTATCTTACCTTCTTCATCAATAAAGCACTGGCAATGATTTGAAGAAGTACAATTCATGTGGTATCCGTTAATACACTGGCATTGTTGATTTGGACCACATTTCATATTTGCTACTGGACAATGATGATTATTGAAACATCCTGATTTTGGCAAACAGATTTGACCATCACCTTCAGTTCCATTCTAGATTGAATAAGATGGAATTTTGAAATTTAAATTGTTAATTTTGGATTGATTATTCTACGATCTCTAAAGTTTTACTTGTTGTAGATAGAGCATTGGAAGTAACTCCTTTATGCTAGATTAATCACTTCTACAGATCTATTGAGCATCGCCAGCTAAACTTTGCAAGTGAAATGACTAATGAAGGTTAAACTCTTCAATGTGAGAATGTAGAAAAAAAAACTCAAGTAGATGATTATTCTTTCTTACCTTACATATACATTGACCTTCTTGACATTCCTTATAAGGTTCATTACATTTACTGTCACAGGATTTTTTGGTGGAAGGTTTAGTTAATTCATCACAACCTGTGACATTATATCCAGTATTTACATCTAGGCACCAAACTTGTCTTGTTCCATTCTGCCAAGGACTAGTTTGCCACTCAACTTGTGCACATTGTGCTTGTGATTGAGTGCAATTTATGATCTGGATATTGTTTGTAGGACATTTCTGACCATTATATCTGCTAGGCCTTAAGACATGGCGAACCCTTATACGATGTGGTTGACTATCATTTCTATTACAATTACGATAGCAAGGACTAAATGAGCTCCAACTGGTCATAACACAATCATCCTTACATGGAATATAGCAATTTCTTTCAACGTCAATGTCCATAAACTGAATGAGTTCATTTAATTTGGTAAAATTCTTTACCTCCTGCATAGATTGCGTTAGCTTTTGATTAAGGCAATAGGTGAGATCAAAATACTTCCCGTCATAACGTGTGCAAGTAATACTCCTAGATTTTCTTCCATAACCACATTGACGTTGCGATGTTTTACATGCAGACCAAGAACTTCGAGTTATGATATAATTTACACATGGGCGAATGTTGCAAGACTTCTGTTGTTGTAATTGCTGACTGGATGGGCATGCTTTTCCAATACCTGTAGCATTGAAAAGAATGCTACGATGGCGTGTTGAAATGCCTTTTAATCCGCATGATTTTGAACAAGAAGACCAATCTGACCATGGTGAGAGTGCACAATCAACATCGCAATCTTCTCGACAACCGCGTACTCCTTCAGGTGGTCTAGTTTTGCATAACGATGTTGCAACAATTTGTTGATTTTGATTCTTGCAATAAATAGGACGATATTGTAAGCCATCACCGCAACGAGATCGTGGATAAGTTCGACAAGTAGCCCATGAGCCAGCATCCCATGAGAATTGATCTTCATCGATATAGCGCTGTTGAAATAATAAATTAGGTTGTAAACATTCGTAGCGTTTCCTGGTTTGCCTTAAGATTCTTCGAGTACGACATTGTGGTTTACCACTGGTACGATTATTAATGGGTCGTAAGTTCAAGATGCAATTTCCAGGCTGCCAAGGAGTCCATAAACTATAAACGCATTTACCAGGACATGCAATATGGCATGATTCTACTGAATTTGGTTTATCAGCTATTAATAAGCATCGTTGATCATCTAAGACATGGCCATGTCGATCACTACAGTAAACTTTACGGCTTTGAAAGCCTTGACCACAACGTTTCGATAGATTACGAAATAGACATTGGCTCCAAGTTGTATAATGCCAACGAATATCATGGCATAGTCTCTCTTGGCATATTTCTAACTGGAATAAACTTGGGCATGGACGACCACCATATTGCGGAGCTCGTAATACAGTTCTTGTACGATTTCTTAAGCTGTCACCGCAATCATGTTGGCAAGGATTCCAAACTGACCATGTACTAACAATGCAGTCGATCGAGCAATTTTTGAAGCATCGACGATTAATAGCGAGTTTATTCTTAGCATATTGCTGGCACCAACGATGATCGACAATGATTGAATCGTTTCTTTGGCATGTTAAATGGCGATGTTGTAAACCTTGGCCGCAATTGGAAGCTTTGAGCAAACAACTGGACCAGGGACTGGGTAACCATGCGTATTCAAAGCAATGTCGATTGGTGCATTTAGATTGCTGTTCGAGGTGGCTTGGATCGATATATCGGCAAACTCTTAAACCTTCTTCTCGATTATAATTTGTAAAAGTGCGATATCGCTTTCGATTTGGATTGATCCAGTGATTAGAACAAGATTGTGAACAATTCGACCAAGCGGACCATGGAGTTAAACTACAATCACCTTGGCATGGAACGAAACATTTTCGAAATATTTCTGGCATTTTTAATGATCGATTCTTTAAGCAATAGTTAAGCGCAACAATATTGTTATTCTCTAGGTGAATACATTGGGCCATTCTAGATTGCATGCCAACACCACACAACGGGTTTCTTCGGTCAAAATTTAATAATAGGCATGCTTGCCAAGATCCTGTACGCCAAGTATAAAAATTTGTAGATGATAGCTTGGATGAAGATGAGTACGGCATGGATGATGATGAAGAAGCAGACGAAATACAAGATAGATTGGTCAATTTTGTATATTCCACGATAAGACCATTACGAGTCATATTACTTGGACAAGGATGGCCACCAACAGAATGATATTGTAGGACAACCCGTAATCGTTTATTTTGCGCTTTTGGTTTGCAAAAGATCATTGATGAGGATGGAGGGGGTGAAGACCAATCGCTCCATGGTGATAATTGGCAATGCAATGGGCGCTCTTGTTGTTGATCATGACATTTTCGCTCTAATGGAGGTTGCATTCGATATTGGCATAATGACATGGGTAAAATTCTCTTCTCGAAGACATCAAAGCAATTTACGGTCCGATATTGGTAACATCCATCGGCAAAACAAGTACAATTTGACCAAGACTGAGTGATCCATATAGGCAAATAATGCCTAACAGTCATACTTTCGATAAGCTGGGATGAATATGGACATGGTTTGCCACCAACACCTGGATCTGCTAAGATATAACGTATACGAACTTGGCGATTTTCTTGTAGCATCATCATGGTTGAATTCAATCTTATCGGTATTAGTTGTAATGTTTCAGTTTGCCAATCGCTCCAACGACTAAGGATGCAATCATTTAAGCATGGCAGTGTACATGATTTACTGAAAGCTGGCCGCTTCCATAATTTACAATATCTATCCATGACCATACGATGATTTTGATCGATACAATAAACACTACGAAATTTACGACCAGTTTGACAATATGGACGACTATTAGCATTGGATAGTAAACAGGTTGACCATTTATCGGCAAACCATTGATAGCAAGATCGCATTGAGCAATTTCTACTTTCTGTCAGGGGTGGACAGGCTTGTCCATTTTGTTTTGGTGGTATTAATACTTGCCGATGGCGTCTTGAAAATGAACGATAAGGTGAACAACATGATGACCATTCTGACCAAGGCCCAACTAAGCAATCTCTCTTGCAATCGATTATACATAAGCGATTGAAAACTGGTTTATTTTCTTGTCCTCCATCATGTTGGCAATATTTTTCATTAACCATATTACCTCGATCATTGACGCACCATACTGCTCGCGATTGCCATCCGACATTGCCACATTGCTGTTGCCCAGCTAATAAGGAAGGCCAACGAATCTGGCATAAACTCCATTCGCCTGTTTTCCATTGCGGTTTTGGCTTATGAATGAGCTTGCAAGTTCGTTGATCTAGCAACGGAGGACACGAATAAATTCCATTATCAGGATTGAGATAATTAATATGGCGTTTTCTGGATTGAATTCCTATTTGAGGCGATTTGGATGGATTATGGCTAAATTGACAATCTGACCACGATGACCAAGAAGAGACTTGGCATTGACTACCAATGGCACAAATTTCTTCTGCATGGGGTCTGGCTTGAATTGAGCAACCATGGCTAAAGTGGCCATCATAGCTTACACATTGAACTGTTCTATACCTTTTAGATATTGTTGTAGGTAGCATATGCTGGCTTGATCTTGCCATACTCGTAGCCGTGTTACTATTTAAAATAGATTGTTGCTTACAAGAAGACCACGGTCCTACTATCCATCTTGTAAACTTGGCATTTTCTTCATGCTGTTGATCAAGAATGCTCATTTCCATCAATTTAGGCTTTGACTTGAAGTTACTAACTTTACTATAAAGAATAGTTCGTGTTCGATAGCGCAAATTTAGCGATGAATTAGATTGCCATGAATTCCAAGATGTTAAAATATGAGATAAAGTTGAATTGGAGCAAGGACTATTGATATCCTTCGGTTTAGGTATATCACGACAGTAGTAATAAGGTGAGATTTTATGCGTCGGCTTATAAATGCAATAAAATCTTCCATAGCTTTTCCATGGCTGACTGTCTACAGATGTGAAGGAGACTAAACAATCCCATCTAAAAACACTGGATTGATTGTTAGCATTGCTAATGATGACTAAATGCAATAAAATTGCAAAACATATCCAATATGAATTGCACTTAGACATGTGTTATTATTTTTTTCTTCTTCTTCTTCTTCACGTCAATTTAGCTGTATGGCTTGCAAATGACGGTAGTATTTTTTTTATAACTTGGTCGTACGTTCTAACTGATATAGAGATCAATTTTGGGATAAAATTAGCCAGTGATGACGACAATTTAAGGAATAATTGATGTCTGACCACCTGCTAGGGTAGTCAGGTTTGAACTTGTAGGCATTATAGCTACTAACCGAAGGATTTACAGGCGTTTATTGGTGGAAAATAATAAAATCAAGTTAAAAAATAAAAATAAATGGGTCGGTAGAAAGGATGGATTAGGTAGATAAATAAACATCGTGTTAAAAATAGTATGCGACGACGACACTTGGCAATGAAATTCGATTTGATGATTTGTTACAGGTGATTAACAAGTATGCATTGATTAAGTGATTCGCTAGTCAATAAGGGTACGGAAGAAATGAATGTAGTAATAAGGAAGAAATCAGTTCACATTTGTTATTAGCAATAAGAGTCTTACAGATTGAGTTTATATTACATCGGAATGATAAATGAACGGTTGATTTTCTTTCTCCTCCCCAGCTAAGTTTTCGTATACGGACGATAATTAGTTCAAGCTTTCGAGCCTCACAGGGTGGTAGAAGGATAAAATGAAGGTTTAGCACGGACGATAGCTTTGTTTAAGTAGTAAGTTATAACTATCGGTTTCAATAACCTTAACGGTAGTTATTTGGTATCATGAACAAGATTAAATGGCAATAATAGTTCACTAAATTACTCATACAAGATACGACGTATAAAAAGAAGAGCTTCAAAAATTTGCTGTTGTAAACGAATATAATATTAAACTTGATCATTTACTTTACTCTATAATGTATAGGGATATGAGAATCTATCTATCGTTATAAATCCATCTCAATTGAATCGAGTTCAGAAAGATTGTATTGCATACTAATACTTGAAGATGAAAAATCTCCATTTTGCATCATTATAAATTAACTTTTCTCGTTAATATATCGACATTCAGAAAATGGCTATGAATAGTGATATATCGCTATTTAAAAATAATATCAATTTTACCACGTAAGGATATGATAATAATCCTATCGGTCTAAATGAAATTCAGTTCAATTAAGTTCAGAAAGTTTCCGCGGTAAATTATACGTTAACATTGAATATTTACATTATGTGGATGTATGGATGTTTACTTAAATAGGTATTAAAGAATGCAAAGGCTGACAGAAAACATGGATCAGAGCTTAAATATGAAATATAAAATGGCAAAAAGCTAATATGCGATGGATACTGATCGAAATTCAGTCTGTCGTTGTTATTGTCGAAACTACTGGTCAATAGGTGCCTTTGGCTGCAATCCCGGCACTAGTTCTTAACGTGGTACACGAAAGGTATAAAATTAGATGATCAGAAGACTTATCAGTAGTATTCCGGCAATAGCTTACTTATGATAGATTGAACGGTAATAGTTAAACCCTCATATGGAGTAAATAAATACTATTTACCGATGAGTTGAGTATCAAGCTTAATGGGTAATTGTATTTCGTTTAGTAATAGTCTGTATCAATTTTTATTACGCCGATTTTCATAAAATATTCGAGTGCAACTAATACTAGAAATAAACCTTGAGGAGGTAAACGGATCGATTAGACGATTAGAAAGTACCGTTAATTTTCCCAGTCAAATAAGATGAATTGACATTTTTAAATTTTACCAATTCTACCAATTATTAGTATTAATGAAAGCTCCGAGCGATGCGCTAGGAATCCTTCAAAGAGGAATAATGAGAAATTACTCCGCTATTTTGTAAATTTATTGGTGGCAATGTGTAGCTTAATTTCTAAATTGATTCCTTAAATCAATGATTTGGCAGTATCGTGAAGAAGTTTACTTCTTGGTATTTCAATCCAATCGATTTTAGATCGGACTGTAGGAGATTGCTATCATTGTAAATAGGCTTTCCTAATGCCTCTTGATTATGATCATTTTTTACAAATACTGTGAAAAAGTTTCCTTCTTGGCATCTCAATCCAATAGAGTTTATTTTCGGTAATAGCAGTTGCCATTATCGCAAGTAGGCTTACCTAAAGAGCCATGATTGTGATAATAATTCATTACTAGTACAAGGAAGAAGTTAATTCCTTAACAAGTTACATACGCTATCGTATTTCAGCAGCTTCTTTAACTGTGTTGATCATTTATTTGTAATAGAGTGAAAAAATTTTCCAATTGATTATTGCTCTATGATTAATTATTCTGAAAGTCCGTAATAAAAGCCTCTTTGTAAATTTTATATTGTGTAAGACAATTATTTGGTGGGATAGTTTGTTTTATTACAGTGTGCAAACAATTACGAATACAGCAAAACAATTTTGAGCTGTTCATGATTGCATCAAGTTCGCTTCTTTCCGGCAACTAGCTGATTGCTATCCTGGTTCTATAAGCTTTCTTATTGTGTTCATAATATAGTGACTTCCTTCCTGATATAGTCAGGAAATGTTGCTTCTTCATGGCTGTATCAAGCTCGCTTATTCCAATAACTGACTGATTGCTACCCTGATTCAATAAGCTTCCGTCAGCTTCCTTGTTGTGCTAATCATGACTTGATTACTGGTATCGCCAAGAAATTTGGACTTGTTCACACGATCAGGGACTACTCCACGATTTTCCCCTGTAAGAAGAGACTCTTCTTTTTTAGAGGTTAAAATGGTAGAGTTGTCCCTGACACGGTTGAGCCATTTTCGGCAACTACCGTAAAACAAGCTTGCGTTTCGCTGGACTACCAATGATTAGATGTAGCCTACAGCTGACCTGTAGGACATTTATGCTTGGCCAAAGATCGGGCCATGGAAGCTATTGACTATTAATGACTGTGCCAATGCAGTAGTACCCCGTAACTACGTCTTACGAGCACAGTCAATCATGTTTTACATCGTCATGATTGTATCAAGTTTATTTTTTCTGGCACTAGCTGACAGCAATCACCGTCATTGAAGGTCAAATAGCCTTTACTGATGATGATGTTAGAATGTTTGACCGCTTTGTGACGAGAGACTACAGTGTTTAAAGCTACTTGCTAGATGTAGCCTTTAAGTGAGGGTGTAAAATATTGATCAGAGTAGAGTATTGTACGGATTGATTGGGTAATTAGACACTTTGATTGACATTATATTTGTATGTCGATGAGTTTGTAGAGATTGCATTCAACCCTTTGCAATACTTATTGCAGTTGGATTCCATTAAGGGGATTTGTCTCGGACTTCCTTTCAATCGTGAGTAGTGGGTTTGCAGAGGAAAAAAAACGTCTATTGACAAGGTGCCTGTTGTAGTCATCCTCATGGATTATGATCATGATTGTGCTGTAATCAGTGAATCTGATTACAACTTGTTCTACAAATTGTTGCAAAATAAAGAAGGTAAATAAATAACATTGAATTGCAAGCTATTAGTCTAATAGAGTAAACAACGGCCATGGCTATCCACGATTGCTTCTACAGTGCAGTACGACAAGAAGAATTGCTAAAAGTGATACAATTGGCTTTGTATCCTCCAGTGTACAGTACAAGACTACAGTCCGCAAATACACTGTAAGGGAAAGAAAGAAAGGTCTCAGCTAGCTGAAAGGCAAAATGTCCTTGGGCTGTTGTCTTTTTGCCTATGGTATAACTTGGATATATTCTTGTTTTTAATTGCTAGTCCTCATGAGTTTGCAAGTCTCGTATGGATAGAGTTGCACTCTACGTTCTACAGTACTGTACTTTATCTAGTTTTCTATCACGGGCATGAAAATGAGCAAGCATGATGACTTGAGGAAGAAAGTAGCGACTACTTTCTTCATCAACGACTGTCCAGTCCCAATGATCACTTGATTCTATTTTCTTTCTTTTTCTTCAACCACCCTAGTGGAAGAAAAATGATTTCTTGACTAGCCGTCAGCAATGACCAGTACGGAAATCCCATAATCCATCATTGCATGATTCTACTTACAATACAGGTACAGTATACGAGTATGAGCGTAGACTGTAGAGGACTACTGGGTTGGTAACATGATGACCTGGATAGAAATCCCATAATCCATCATGGCCTAATTTGTCCCACTTTTGGGCTCCAGAGATGAAATCGATTGGCAAACTACCCAACCATTGCAGTTGCCGTGCCTCCAAAGTCAAAGAACAAGCAGTTCACTTATTATCCCATGATTTCTATTGCATCCAACGATAAATCCACTACAATACTGTCCTAAAGCACCTGACTAGAGTGCAAATTATACATTGTACCCTTAACATGAAATAGTAATCAGCCTGATATAGACCATAAAGGTATTGAACCGATCTCAGGTCGAATCAGCCATGCCGACCGTCTTGCGTGCCGTAAGTCCGTAACTGAAAACCGGTTTTATCATCCACCATACTTTACACTGTAGTGCTACAGTCCAATTGATTGTGCTTTCATCGTGCATTACTGTACTGTATTATTATTATTCTAATTGGTCATTGTACAAATTGATTTTATTTTGGACCTATTTTTGGGCTCAGTTCAGAAAATATTTTCCCGGTGAACTTGCGATAGACATCGATTCTTCTTGCTGTAAGGTATGATTATTATTTTAATGATGCTCTGTCAATTCTCAGCTTGAAATCCGTTCGTCACAGTATACTTTTGTTGCTGTTGAACCATTTTCAGAATTGGATGCCTGTTGACGCTGTGGCTGTCCAGTGCAACGTTGATCGCTGATAAGTCGAACGCTTTCAGCTTTCTTATCTCCATTGACGACACCAACGTAAGTCCAATCATGTCTGTACAAGTTTTTCTCTTTTTCTATAACTATCTATCCAATCCTATGTAAAAGAGTTGCTTTTCTCCTCCATTGGATAGGATACGATCGTCTCCCATTGACTTATTCCTTGCTTAATCGTGCCAACGATTAACAAGCCATAACGCTAAACTCTTAATCTAGGTAAGTCAAGATTGATTGAATCCAACGGCGTCATTCACTCGACGTCGACTTAACGCTTCAGTCTTTTGTCTTACGCTCCATTTCTGGTATCGTTGTGTCTTTCACTTCAATCATGGACGCTTCGGTCGCATCATTCCTTGCTGATTTGAGGGGGGGGGGGGGGGGGAGGGCAA